ATTTTCCACTGCAAACTTGTCAGAGAAAACAGCACAGTGAAAATAAAAAAAGAGAAGAAGTCCTGGCGAAATAAACCATTGGAAAGTCATTTTTAATACAAGAGAAAAATCGAGTTTCCAGATGGGATTTGAACCCACGACCCTCCGTGATCTAGTCGGATGCTCTAACCACTGAGCTACAGGAGACTCTATGGTGAGCATGGGTCAATTAGTGGGTATTGACTGGAACCGCATCACGCGGCTACACAGCCAAACATCAGCTAGCGCATAGAAGCTCACTAACAGCATCACGCTGTCACATTAAAGCATCACATGCATTAAAGCATCACATGCAGCCAACCAGCCTCCAAAGTGAGCATGTAAAGATGAAATAAACAATTTTTAAAAATCGAGTTTCCAGATGGGATTTGAACCCACGACCCTCCGTGATCTAGTCGGATGCTCTAACCACTGAGCTACAGGAGACTCTATGGTGAGCAAGGGTCAATTAGTGGGTATTGACTGGAACCGCATCACGCGGCTACACAGCCAAACATCAGCTAGCGCATAGAAGCTCACTAACAGCATCACGCTGTCACATTAAAGCATCACATGCATTAAAGCATCACATGCCGCCAACCAGCCCCCAATGTGAGCATGTAAAGATGAAATAAACAATTTTTTTTCCCATCTAGAAACTCGATTTTTCTCTTGTATTAAAAATTGATAAAATAAAATTCATTTTATTTAAAAAATCTAAAAATGGTGCGAATTTTTACCATTCTATTTGGGCAATTTAAGCTACAATCACAAGTTCCAGTTTGTAGTAAACTCAAATATCATCATCTTTTCTAAAGATACATTGCCAGAAATTTGGGTCAAAATGCCGGACGCGCGTGCGTATTGAGAAGTTAATGGCGGCGAAATCGTGTAAGGAAATGTATGGGATTTCCACAAAAATCCAAAATACCACAAATACGAGTAAGATTATTCCTTAGCTCCGACTCGAAACATGTTCAGTAGAGATTAAGCTGTACTTCTAACATAAAAATAATTCAAAAGCTGTTTGTCTACTTACTTCCAGCAAGTTTACTTAGTTCCAGCAAAGTCAGCAATGTTCGATATTCGAGGCTAGCCATTACCTCTAGTCTGTTTCAAATATAGCGTAATCCATGGCAAAGGATCGCCGATTTGAGGAGCAACCCTCCAGGGAGTCAACTAGCTACGACTCGCATTAAATAAAGGGAACTTTGAAGTAAGCAAATCGTCCGTAAAAAGAGACATCTCTTGACAATGAGATACTTCCAAAAGAGCTTGAAAATTTCAATTTTTGCTCTGTGGAGTCTGTGATCTGAGACCATCCTTGAGGACGCACCAGAAGGGAAAGCGTTAAAAGAAAAACCCTCTGCGAAACTTTCAAAATGTCGGGACCCCAAAATGTCGCCATAATTGGTTTTTCTAATTCAGCAATGTTTGACGGGAAATAAACTCAATCCAGACCCCCTCATGCTAAAGTAGCGCCTTGAATAAAGATTTCCTCGCGCGAAAATTAAGCAGCAGATCAGAGAGATCTGTACGTTCGTTGAACTGTGTTTTCAACTGGGAGAAAAAGCCCTTTTCAAGTACGATTTGCCTAGATCTTCCCATTATTTAATGCAAGTGGTTTAAGCTACAATTTCCAAAATGTCTGACATCTTAGACGATTACAAAAAAAGCCAGTTTGAGTGGACATTGAAGCTTAGTACAGAGTGTCCCTTGCATTACGTCAGACAGCAAATTGCTATATGTCGCTCTGCCTTAAAAATACCAAGAGATCAGTTCAAATTTGTTTTTATTTTGCCTTTTTCTCCATAAAGAAGGTCCACAGAACTTAAATCGTTCAATATTTTATATGGAATTTGTCTTGACTGCCATCTTTGTTTTCATCCCACTGCAATCCGCTGACCAATGAATGCGGGAGCAAAATATCCTCGATTTCAGGCGATGAGCTGAGAAAGTTTGACGAATAAGTGACTGAAATAGGGAGAGAGTTCCAAATTTTAGGACCTTGGTAGAGAATTGTAAACTGCTTGACATTTGTACCGCACAAATGCGTTCGATAATTACTGGCTGTTCTGGAACCATAGTTGTGAATTTGGCTATTCTTTAGAAAAAGATCGAGAAGCAATGGGGGCAATAAGTTATTTTTGAAATAAAACATAAATTTGGCGATTTCAAACGTATTGACCTGGAAAATATCTAAAATTCCTGGTTTGGAGAATAAAGGGGCAGAGTGGTCTCGCGGATAGTCTGAGTTGGTGATAGCCCGCACAGCTCGCTTTTGCAAATAATAAATTCTATTTAAGTTAGATACGTATGTGGACGACCAGGCGGAGTTACAGTGGACGAGAAAAGGATAAACTAAGGTGTAATACAAAGTGAGTTTGGTTGCAGACGATAGGGAAAAGCGAGACCTAAATGTAATACCTATTGATTTAGCGATTTGTTTACATACATAGCTGATATGGTATTTCCAGGTGAGATGATTGTCAATATAGACCCCAGGGAATTTAGTTACATTAGCTTGTTGTAGGGGTTTACCTCCAAAGGAGAGAGAAATGCTGGAGTTAAATTTCTTCTGTCTGGGTTTAAAAATTATATAGTTGGTTTTCTTTATATTAACTGAAAGCTTGTTACATTTTAGCCAAACGTCAATGTTTTGGAGTTCATCATTAAATATAGATTCTAAGCAATTTATATTTGAGTGAGAATAAAAGATACTGGTGTCATCAGCAAAAAGTAGGGGGTCTGATAATTCAGAGGCATTAGGAAGGGGTCATTAATGTATAGGATAAACAATAGTGGGCCTAAAATCCAACCTTGAGGGACACCACACGTGATGGTTTGCATCGGAGAGCAAGCTTGATTGAATTGGACAAATTGCTGGCGGAAAGAAAAGTAGCTTTTAAACCACTGCAGAGCCACGTCACGGATACCCTAGTGCTCCAATTTGGCAAACAAGACTTGGTGGTCGAGAGTGTCGAATGCTTTGGAAAGATCTAAGAAAACACCCACCGTTGTTTGGTGTTGGTCGCATGGCAGATGCAATTTTATTTACCAAATGAATTAGCGCGTGCGATGTTGAGTGATTTTTCCGAATTCCGAACTGACAGCGGTAAAGTATGTCGTGTTTTTCGGAAAATTCTACCAAGCGATTGTATATGACTTTTTCGAAAATTTTGGAAAATTTAGACAACAAAGAAATAGACAACAAAGAAATAGAAATGAATCAAGGGTGAAAATTTCTAGAGAAACGGTAGTGCAGCGTCGGTGGGGGTAACAAGGTAATTTGGTTATATCAGCTATAAGTTGAAATTGTAAATTGGCCACCGTGAAGAGTTAAAAAGCTGACGTTTCGAGCATTAACCCCTCGTCAGAGCGAATGGGGAAGGGCGAACGCTCGAAACGTCAGCTTTACGGTGGCCGATTTACAATCTCAACCTATTTCATGATATAACCAAATTGCCATGTAGTAAACTCAGTATGTTTCGGTCTTAAGACACCATTTTAGATATATTACTGTTGACTCAGTAACATGTCACATGAACGTAAATCGGAGCAGCGATTGGTTATTGTCTTTTTTGGTCTGGGTTATCCAATCTGATAGCGACCCCGGACTGTAAAATACAATTAAATATAAACTCTGTCGAAGTTATTTCAAACCGGCAGATGTTAATGTGAGTGATAGTTGCTGCAATTCTAATTTCGTTGTCTTGTAAAGGGTGTTGAGCTTATGGATAATGGTTTAAAAGGATGGAATGGGAGAAGTTCTACAATCACTGATTGAATCTGAGTTTGTTCCCATCCCTAATGTGGCCGGATTGATCTGTCCATAGTTAATAGAGGGGACTAGTTATGAAGGCCGGCATACATGAAAGCGCCGGCCTGTTGTTCGGCTCCTGAGGTTGAAACGTACCGTGACGTCACGTGAACGTGCACATCGTTGATTTGCACTACAAGGCAACATGATCTGTCGTGCGCGTAACTCCAACCAACTCGCTTCATTTTAAGCAATGAAGAACTCGTAAGATATAGATGATCTTGGCCAAGGATGCTACGGCCATATGTTTTTTAACTTCCTTGACTTTTCCTTGATAAACGTAAAATTTCCTTGACGAACTGAATTAGCAATTTCAAGAGTCTTGATTATCTGATTGCCTCCAACCTCCCCTCATAGCAATCTCCTTCACCCATAAATTCATGTTTTAGATTCATTAACCTATATTGTACATGAATTGATAGATCCTTAAGGTGACATGGAAAAAGGATTTCCCTGGAAAACCATCAAACGCATGTCCTTTAATTTCTACCAATACAGCACCCTCAATTTCCGTGAAAAGCGCAGAAAAATTAAAATTGTAAGAAAGTAGCGAATATTGAAGAAAAAGAAAACGTATGATTACATTCACAAACCAAATTGGCCTTGACCTTGCCTTATAATTACTCTTAGGATAAGTCAGTTCTACTTAACAATGTACAGCAGTTACATCGAAAAGAAAATGTCATCATCTTTCACCATGAAGAGAGCCAAGAAAATAGTCTTCTTATTGCCGTAAAATTTCACTTTTCCTTGACTTTTGCAAGTTATACGAAGTAATTTTCCTCTGAAGCAAAGTGAAATCCCTTGACTTTTCCCTGACCTTGAAGAGATTTATTTTTCCCTTACATGTGGCAACCATGATTACGGCAAGGATTCTGACTCAAACTTTTCCCCAGGCTTTTCCTTTACGGCCTCCTGGCGAGCTGCAATGGGCTTTTCAACACGCGCTGCTTTGCCAGAAACTCTGATGCCTTATTTGGGAAAAAATGCATCCTCGCTTCTGATCGGTCGACTTCTAAGCTCCACCTTGTCTATAAGAAATATCTATGTATAGGGTAATTTGGACGGGACAAGTAAAGCCCCCACCCCTCTGTCTTTCCAACTTAGCACCCAGCTAATCAGGCCACAAACCTACACATTTACTGACTCAAGCAAGCAAGGCTGATCGATAATAACGCTTTTATTTCTTAAGTTTACAGATTTATAGCCTTGAAATCAATTCACTGCAGAGTAAACTCTATGACGCGTTGTATAAAAAGTTTAAATATTTGCCGAGGGCAAGACTCCTTTCAGCAGCTAATTGAAATTTGAACTTCTCTACACAAGAAAACAACGCGAACATTTTAACACATTTTGAATGGACAATCATCAAATGAAACCCCGGTGTAGTTCTCTAAGAATTTCCATCAAACAGTTCTCAAAGCTGAGAAATTTTTCTACATCAAACACTCCTCACCAATTGTCATTTGACCCTCTATAATTATACTAAAACTAATTATCCTACGACAGAAAATACAGCAACATAAACCAAGTGACAGTTGCAAGAGAGACTTTATAAAGACTGTCGAAAAGCCTTGTGTGCTCCTTTAAATTATTCAGTTCTTCTTCATAGAGTTTAGGATTCTAAGGATCTCAATGAAGAGATTGATCATGTCCAGGTACAGGTTGATTGAAGCCAAAATGTACTCCTCTGGCGAAAGTTTGTGCATCAACATGTGGGTATCAAACACAATGAATGCTGAGAACAGCAGGGCGCCAGCTATGGCATAGACAAGCTCAAACGTCTCACTGTGGAAGAAAAACTGCGAAACAAAATTGTAAAGAAATGAAGCAACTATTCACTGCGTTGAAAATTTTGTTTGTTTGTTTGTTTGTTTGTTTGTTTGTTTTTTTTTGGACAGGAAAACACAATGCGTTAAAAACAATAACAAGATGTTGGGTGAGAATCTCCCTTCGCCAAAGAAATAAAAAAAAGTATTCAATCTGGGTAATGTTATGCACAGGTTTACCAAATCTCTGACAGACATGGAAAATACTATTCAGAACACTCCTGAAATAAACATAAGAAGCTCCCACAGTAGTAATAATAATAATAATAATCATCATCATCATCATCATCATCATCATCATAATAATAATAATAATGCAAATATTTATACAAGATAACCTATCAGTTCTGAATAGAAAGAACTATTATTAGAATGGTCCTTTACTTAACTCCTAAATAATTAAAAATAAATAACTCTAAGACATCTCAGATTTACATTAACTTACAAGATTTAAAAGAGTTGAGTTAATTGGATACTATTGAAAAAAACTTTAAGTGAAAAGTCTAAAAAGTCTACGTTTGAAAGTAATTTTGGTGCATGCATGTAATCCCAATTAAATATCACACTGTATTCCTACTTTTTGCACCATTTCAAAGAAACATCTTAAAGCAACTTGAAGCACAGACTGTTTCTCTATCTAGAAACGGATAAAACTTTACAAGATTTGGCACGGAATGAAAGTAAGTAGTTTATTTCTTACTTAAAGCAAGTATTCTGATAATGTAGAAACCAACCTGCAGAAAACCAGCTAAAATGAGGATCCACAAAAGAGTGAACAAGCTGTAGAAAAAAAAACAAATAAATATCAATGTTGATTTCATCATTTTCACCCTCATAACAACAGTGAACTGGTAATAAGCATGCCTTTTAAGATTAGTGTCGAATCTTCCAGCTTTCAAAGCTGGAAAAACAATTGTCTCTTTTAATCAACCTGCTCAAAGGGAAATGATAGTGTCCATTGATTTTCCAAACCCAAGCCTCAGGTTATCCCTTAATGAAAACAATTAGCCCACATTTTTGTTGATAGATAAGCATACAATTTAAGGATGTCCATTCATAAAAATGAAATGCAACATTTGATTATTGCATGTGATTATGAATTGACTATCAAGAGCTACACTTGATATTGACAAAAATTCCAACAAACACACACATACCCAGCACCCCATGAACTGTAGTCTCTCTTGCTTTGCATTGTGTACATTGTCAGTGCCATGGTTGTTGCCACAGTAAGCACAAATGCTTCCAGCACCAGCACTTGGTCATAGAATGTAACTGTAACATAAAGTATTTACTTGTTTCACTGTTTTGTAATATTTAAAGGTCTAGTTTGTCTGTACGATGAAATGACACCAGAATCATGCTTTTCATAAATACATTGCACAATTGTACCACACAATTATATACAACTCATGCATAATCCTGCTTTTTTCCCCCTTTAGCTACAATTTGCCTCAGTTTTAAATCCTGCCTAAGTTTAATTTTTCTTTAGCCTAGAGAGTAATAGAAACCCTGTGACCTAACAAGGATATCTCTAGCATCAGATACAGCATAGCCTTGTACCAAACAAAAGTACTATAAGTTGTAGCCTAGACTTACCCAGTGTACCAACAGTGTAAGCTTCTGATAGTGTCTGAAATAAAAAGCACCATTCTAAGAAAATTCTGTATGTAGAATTTCAATTGACTCCTGATGACTCCAGCCCTCACTGATTTGAACCCCACCCTTGCTTGAACCACTTTCCCTGGACTTCAGTCACTGATCAACTTCCATAACTCAATCTTCCCACTAACTTTCATTTGCATTCAGCTTATTTTCATTTCATTTCAACCCTGTAACTCAAACCATGTTTGTCTCAACATGCCTGGTCAAAACAAATGGACTACATACAGTTGTACTTAAGCCTAAATTATACATGCTTATTTGTTTTCTTCATCTAATTTTTATTCTTCTTTAAATTGCATGACTATCATCATGTAGTCCCAAATCCATAATTTATTTATAAACTCCAAATAATCGAGATCACATGCTCTTCTTAACCTTGCACAATTAGATTATGTAGGAGATTGAGGGAATCCGCCGTCAGTCAAGCTAATGAAAACTACAACACAAAAACATGTGGACTCATTTCTCCTGGTGTTTGCTGTAATCCGGCTATGCCTTATAGGAGGCGCAGGTCTCTCAACACTAGAAGAAGAAATCTTTTTTTAAAAAAATGAAAATGTTCAATAAAAGCTAACAACACATCAGTCCAGTTAAGGTTTTAAAATTAATGGTTGGGGAATGACATAAATTTAACTTAAGTACAGTGTCATTAACTTCTCTCGGCCTCTCTATTTTCTTTAACAAACTGGGCCTAAATGTTGACCTTGTTTAATCGCTGTAGCAGTAAAGTTCATGTAAATCTAGCTTTCCTCCTCACTTTGATACTTCTAATCATTTTCTCTAAGCTTCTGATACTTTGACCCTCTTTCAGTTTCCCTGAAGGTTTGCTTTATAAAGAGCAATCAGGAGTCAGGAAGTCAGCTAAGAGACCATTGATCAAAACTGACTTTCATTAAAGAGAAATTCAATTTCAAACTTACAAATGCACCCAAAAGATACATGTTGGTTGGATGTTCCTTGCGCTTGAACATCAGTCCAATTAGCAAACCAAGTGACAAGATGAATGCCATCATCAAAACCTCTGGTCTAGAACAAACATTACAGTACCAGTATTTCAATAAAATAGGAATGATACACAAGTGGATAAATTCCCCACATGTGCTCTTAGAAAATCTCTATTAGTTAGTTAATTCCCTCCATCAAACCACCAACATCCATCCACAAGACATTTTTAAGTGGAAAAGTATCACTCTGAAACTCTCTGCCCCAGTCTATTGCTAAATGCAGCCACTCTTTCTTTTTATGCATTGCTTCTTCACTGCAAGGCTTGTACAAGCCCTGCCCATGTCAATGTGTACGAACTGCATTTAGAAATATTTTAAATAATGCACTTCACAATCAATGAAAGTGTGTGCAAGGATCACACATGCACCAAACAAGATAACACTGACAGTCATGTAGTTACTGCTGCAGTAACAGTTATGTATATGTAACTCTCAGGCTCCCAAGATCTGTAAATTGAATCTATCAGCAGATATCTAGTACTCAAAACTTGGTTTTACATCCAAATATTCTCCTGAAAATGGTTTACTTAATTCTCTGCACTTGTCTGCCTCACAGGTAAGAATTTACAGACTGGGCACCTTTGGGTGTCAAATAGTTACAATTTGAAATAAAGGTTTTTAACACAGTACCTTCCTTGAACAAATGATTTGATGCTTTCTGTGTACATAAACACTCCTGCCACAAAAATGGTGAGCATAAGTTGGGCAGTAAGAATCCCATAAACCTTTCTGAGAAAACCTGTAAGACAAAAGAAAAGTTTTTCCATCAACAAATGCTTGATTAAAAAAAATATTAGACAAGATTGTGAAAACAAAAAATGTTACTGCTGTAGGGTGAAAAAAGAAATTTACTACGATGATTCTATTTAGTGCCCTTCTTCCAATAAGTGCCCTCTCTCAAATAGGCACCCTCCTTGAATTTGATTTTGTAAATAAGCGCCCCTATTAACGAGGCACCCTCATTCCAATAAGCGCACCTAATACCAACAAATTCCCCAACTCTGTTTCAGTAATAGCACTGTTAGAAAACATTTACATTTGGTTCAACCTTGGTTCATCTTCCTGAAATTACTCACTTAAAAACCTTATTACAAAAACAGTGGTCTTTGTCACAGTCTCTTAGCTATTACATCACCACATGGACATGATTCTATCAAATGCACTAATCAAATCATTACGGTAGTACTCAGAAATACATAGGATAGAAATTAATCAACATTTCAATGCATATGCACCACTGATTTTGTGATTCTCAATGTGGTTACCAACATCATCTTCAAGATCTGACCAACAATTTTGCTATTTTTTTGGCTGTTGTTTGCTTCATGTTTGTTTTATTAACCAGCCATGATATGTGAGCATTTAAGAAGTGATAAATTTAATTCAATTAAAGATGATTATGTACAATAGGGTGATACAAATGCTACAAAGTAAACTCCATTACCATGTTACATAGAATGGGTTGTAAGTATGTATGTGGCTATTCAGATAAATAATTATGTAAATGAGCTATTTACAAGGCTAAATTATTTTACAAGGTAAAAACTAAATGTTTTTGACACTGGGTCATTATCAAGGTAAATAATGATTTCCCCTGATGATGACCTAGTGTTGAAAACATTTGGTTTTCACTTCTTCAAATATTTTAGCCTTGTAATTAATAACATGTAGCTTGTTTGTAAATATAAGTGAACTTTAAGAACAATTAATTATTATGCAAATAATGGCCCAATTTTAATAGTTAAATAATTCAGTATTTTACAACTGACTTAAGCACAAGGCTCTAGAATAATTTGGATGAATGATGATTACAATTTAGTAACAAAAGTGGAGGTCACAGGACTTGTTCTTCACGAGCGTATATAGATCAAATTCACGATACTTTCAAGAGCCTGTTGTGATGCTATGCCAGCTGTGTGGGTCACAAAAAATAAAAACATTTAGCCAAAATGAATGCCTCTACATTTATAGTTAACAGTAATATGAGTTTCCAAGGAAACAATAAAGTAAGCAAATGCTTATCCATTGAAGAACTGGAGTAAACAGTTTGAGCTAACATTTAATGTTGAAACTGGGCTTTTATTGAAGTTTCAGAAGAAAGTCTGTTTACTAATGAGCCCATCTGTCACCTGCTCCCATAGCATACCACTTAGCAGTCACTCCTCTCAGGCTCCGTGAACATTGTTGCATAATGTCTGAGACAAAGTTGATGGGATTATTAAACATTATTATTAAACATTATTATGCAACTACACTTCATAGAGTACAAATATCCCACAGTATTTGTATTCCAGAGAACCAGTTAGACAGGTTTTCTCACATCACCCAAGCCACAAATTGGATTGAAGTTACAATTTAAATTATTTTTCTGATGATGAAGGGTCAGAATGGTTAGCGCATATTGAGTGTATTAGATTAATCAAACAAAGAAAAGTAGTAGCTTGGAAGCGAGGCTAGTCAGTCCTCTGATGCTTTGTTTTGACTACGCGTCCTTTTTTCACTGTGTTTTACTGTAATCATTTCGCGATGCTTTCTTCCTACTGTGAACCCAATGCAATCAGAAAGGTTACACATTGTCATTAGGAGAAAAGGTTTCTTTGTTTAACTTTCCTAAAGTGCCTTTGATAAGAAAACAGTGAATACAGGCAATCAGTCGAGAGCAAGGCTAGGACTTCATCATAACAGAGCGTACGGAAGTCTGTCAACGGAGGGATTTACGTTAAGGAAGACGGTGTTCCTTCAAAACTTGACTGGTCAGGACCTTCTCCTAAAAAAGAAAGGCCCCGACTCAACGGCAACCGCTGCCTGCGAAGAAAAAACTGCTCACAGAAGACAACTCTCATCGTTCTGATCAGTCTGCATCTGTAAACAAGGAAGTGCAAGAAACCATTGAGATGTCCTCCTTTGAGCCAAGTACAAGCTTCAAAGAAGACACATGTAAAACCCCAAATTTAGAAAGGCAAATCGCCGAACAAAGCACGAAAATCGGCGAACTAGTAGAGAAATCGAAGCACACAGAAAGTGAAATAAACAACCTTTGTCGCGAAAACATCAAATTGACTGAGAAATTGACAGAGTGCGATCACTTCATGATGGGCCAAATGTTTTTTCTGAGAACCCTCTTCTCAGACAACAAAACACAATGAAAAATTCATCTAGTGACTTGAGCTTTCGGCGATGTCCTTTCTTTGAAGCTTGAACATTTTCCCTCATCGTCAGAGTCTGAATTATAAAAGTCTTCAGGGACATCTGCCACACCGCCTCTGGAGCGAATGTTTGTACAATTGTCTCCAGCATTTAAATGCTTGAAAATGGACATAAAAGTCGCATAACTGGATAGACCAGTGTAAAAAGAAACGTCTCCGTCCGTCATGAAACGATCGACACAAAATAAACGCGAAGACATTTCCTTGCATTGGCATTGGCACTCTGTCAATTTCTCAGTCAATTCAATGTTTTCGCCATGAAGGTTGTTTATTTCACTTTCTGCGTGCTGCAATTTCTCTTCTAGTTCGCCGATCTTCGTGCTTTGTTCGGCCATTTGCCTTTCTATATCTGGGGTTTTACATATGTCTTCTTCAAAGCTTGGACTTGGCTCAAAGGAGGACATCTCGAAGGATTCTGGCACTTTGTTGGTTACAGACACAGACTGATCAGAGCCATGAGAGTTGTCTTCGGTGAGCAGTTTTTTCTTCGCAGGCAGCGGTTGCCGTTCAGTCGGGGCCTTTCCTTTTTAGGAGAAGGTCATGACCAGTCAAATTTTTAAGGAACACCGTCTTCCTTGACATAAATCTGTGCCTTGATGGACTTCCGTACGCTCTGTTATGACGAAGTCCTTGCCTTCCTCTCAACGGATTGCGTGTATGCACTGTTTTCTTATCAAGGGCACTTTAGGAAAGTTAAAGAAAGAAACCTTTTCTCCTAATGACGATGTGTAACCTTTCTGATTGCATTTGGGTTCGTAGCAGAACGAAAGCATCCCAAAATGATTACACTAAAACGCAGTGAAAAAAGGACGCGTAGTCAAAACAAAGCATCAGAGGACTGACTAGCCTCGCTTCCACGCCACTAGTACCAGGCCATCCGAGTGATCCGCCATATTTGCATTAGGTCTATTTTTAAATCATTTGATCCCTCTTTTAACTATTATTGTATACTATTTTAGCTTTACGACAATTGTATTGTAAATTTCTGTTTCTCCTTATTTAGGCTTAGTAGTAGTAACTCCACATCAGCTGTACAGTTGCATATTTTAAAACCTACTTATCAAATAAATGTACGTATGTATGTTGGTATGTATGTAACAATTATACTAAATTTCATGTGTTCTACACATATTTTAATGTAGAGTATAAATACAAGAGCTTGCAGTTCATAATTCAATATAGATCACTGAAAAATACACCAAGAACAGAGACAATCTACCAAAACTGCAAACGAGGTTCAAACAATGTGACGTGTACACGGAAATGATTGTTATCATCATTCATATTCAGAATAAGGACCACAAACGGTTTAATTTAAAATATGTTATGTGTAGAAAGCAAAAATTTCTGGCTTTTTTCAATCTCTTTTCAAAAAAAATATTCTTTATAATTTCTCGTACCAAGGGTGGGTCGATCAAACAAAATAGGTTCACATTAAAACTTCCCTCTGGTCGAAATTCAATCTTCCAGAAGAGGAACATCATATTCAGACGACGAAAATCGTCATTGGAAAAAAAAAAAGGGCATGAAAACATTTCGAAATACTAACCAAGACGGATATTGATGTTTGTCTGGGCGACAGTGACTCCATAACTGAAATCGTCCTCCAAACTCGACAGTTTTGAGCCTCCAAACATCGCATCTCCGTTACTGGTCGTCATCTTGAAAGTCTCGAAGTCACCTCTGTACCATAAGCCCTAAAAATTTCGCAAAAAGAACGGCATGTTTGATTGGCTTGCTATAATTGAGTGACCAATCCTGTTTCGCGTTATAACACTTGTTTGGAAACCTCTTCCAAATAAGGAGAGATGAGAGACTACCTCCGGCACAAACTATGACGTCAATTTCAATGGCGCCATTTTTGTTGTTCGCGATTCAGACAGAGTTTTGAATATTTTTATTTTTCGCAACATTTCTCGTGGTAATCGCAAACGAAAATCTGTTTCGATGCTCATTCAAACGATGGAGAATAATGAAGAAATCCTTCAAGCACTGCATGGTAAGTCTCAGTGAGAAGTTGGGTTAATTACGGGCAATGAAATTGGAATTTTCTCAGTGTACCATTTGTGATATTCGCGGTTCTTTTGACGATTTTTCCGGCAGAGTTCGAGAGCGCGACGAATGCAGAAAAAGTCCTTACACAAGAATTAGAGGACATGCTTTTGTACATCGCTAAGACAGGGAGAGTCTTGTAAGTGTTCATCTGTCAAATGATTCTGTAGCTAACGTAATGTCATTTTGAAATGTTAATTTTTTGTTACGGAAGGTCGCATGTGTTTGTTAATGAATGCGATCAAGGTTCCCTCACATACTTCAATCGAATTTTGGATCTATTGTTATTTTTCGTCGTAAATTAGAGGATTAGCCGGCAGGATTGTATGCTTCTGTCACGTCTGTGTTTACAATGTACACGCCGACAGCAATATTTTGTCATACTACTTTCAAGCCATAATTTAGCTAATGCGATGGCCAGCGGATTTAAAAACGTGGCTTGCTCGCAAAAAAAAAATGGGGTTAAGGGTTTTCTTGCCACTAGTCTAGCAAATTTTTCTTGGCCATCGACCAGAAACTCGCACTCCCCCGTCCTTTACAAGTCACACGGCAAAATTATACCAAATTCAGTGATGAGCCTCTTCTTCCAACTAAACCACCCTCCCCTATCACATTCCCCCCCATCCTTTCTGCTTCCTAACCTGAAGCCCTTACCCTCTCCATTGCAGTGATGGGGTGGGGCTAGAAGAAATGACACATGGGAATTGTTTTTTTGGTTGAAGTCACTTTTGGTGGCACATGTATCAGTTCAACAGCAACTTGCAGTTTGCATTGTTATGAAATAGTTTCATTCAGGTGTCACTTGAGTAAAAAAAAAACAAAAACAAAAAAAAAGAACACCTGTCCACTTCAAGTGAAAAGCAGTCACTGCACAAGGCAGTGCCATCTAATGAACTTGTTTATATCCCTTCTCTGTTGAAACAATCTTGTTTCTTCAACTGTAAACTGATGATTGTGTAGACTCAATCCAATCCAGAGCTCCCTTAAAAAAAGAGTTGGTTGGCACATTTGCCCACTCACCCATTAAAATATTCTACTAAGGATCAAGAGAAAGAGAAACAAGAGACTATGCCTGGTAGCAGAAATGTTTTACTAAAAAGTCGCGGAGATCGGCGAACAAATCATACTCAGTATGATTTTGATCCATGACTCAGCTGAAAAACAGCTCTCATTTGAAGAGAGCTAAAAAATATTGGTATTTAAAACTTCTGTATTGAATCACTTGACAGTTAGTCAACATACTTCTCATTGCAAAGTTGATGGCTACACTGCAATGCTTCACGTAATAGAATGAAGTCTGTCTCCATGAAATCAGTTGACTTGATCATGACTTCTTTTAGGTGTTTGTATCTCTAAGAGTCATGGAACAGCAGGAGGGAGAAAGAGAAAGATGGGAGATAGGGGCATTTGTTTGTTTTATAATTGGACCAAAGATCAGCAAATGAATCAGGTTTTTCTTTTTTTTTTTTTATCAGGTGGTTGCCAATCGGCGACTTTCGTTAAAATTTAAGTCACAAATGTATGTTTTCACTTGCCATGGCAGAGGTTCATTTTAGGCCGTGTGAGTGGATTTCTAATAGGCCATTTCCTTTACTTATGTGTCATATGCCCATGGCACACAGCTTTCCCAATCACTGCTTCTCCTCTTGCTGTTCACATAGAAACTGCTCAACTAGTTATAATTGGCAACTAGGCCCAGGGTAAAGCAGGCCAATCTTATCTGCAGGAAATAAGCATAAATTTTTTTATTCATTGGTACAGATTTCCCTGGAATTCTTTAAAACCTGTCTTCTTGTTCAAACTTGACAAGGTAAGACCTGAAATGTTATTGTACTTGTACCAATAATACTTTTACTGTGTTTTTTAAACTGTGTAGACACTGAGTAGTAGAACTACATGTCCTGGACAGAGCTGAATAAGAACTGTGCTTCTCACAAGTAGGCCCATGAATCCATAACAACAAATCAATGTGGAGGTAATTTCAAGAATGTTGAAAGCCCTAATATGGGACCCTCCACAGGAATTTGGGTAAAAAGGTGAATACACGGGCACGCTAAAATAACACACTGAACAATAGGTAGTGAGTTAAATGACACGCATGCGAGTCTGCTAGCAGTGTGTCAAATTGCACGCCTAATTAAAATTTTGCTTTTGTTTTTGTCGTACGCTGAAAACAAAACTGCATGTTCAGTTGAACAAAGAAGTGTGCCAAGCCCGTAAAAACAAAGAAACCGTGCAAAATGACATGGTAGCGAGCAAAATGGCACACTAGTGAGTGGAATGGCAAACTGACGAGTGAATGGCACATTGACGAGTGAAATGGCATACTGACTAGTGAAAGGGCACACTAGCTTATCATGCTCAAGTCCCTGAAAAATGCTGTTCGAAACTAGTGACAGAGTCATGCGTCTTTATTGTGCAATGATTTTCATCTTTCATCCAATAACCAAAATTGGATAGTTGTGACTTCTCACGCGAAAACGTTCCGAACAGTAGCCGTTCAAACAGTGAAAGGAATGGCAAGCGAACAGTTGATGAATGGCTAGGCAAGCCGTTCGCAACAGATACCGTGAATGGATGAACAGCTAATTAAAATTTTCAAACAGAAGAGGTGGAACAGATGAACAGCTAATTGAAATTTTCAAACAGACGAGGTCAAACGGATGAACAGTTAATGAAAACTTTGGAATGGATGAGGTCAAACAGATAAATGGCTAATGAAAAGTTTCTAATGGATGAGGTTGCAGGGATAAACGGCTTATGAAAATTTTTGAATGGATAAAAAACGGCTAATAACAAATTTTTGAACGGCAGCGGTCGAATAAGTGATTGCCTGTAGAAGTTATTTGAACCGATGGGCTCGCAAAAACGAACGCCAACACGGGCGTCCCAGCAAAAGTCTCGAGCAAAAGCGAAGGATTATTTCATAAAAGTGTCACACATTGTGCGACACGGTGTTAAGTTATGCGAGAAACCATTGAGAGTTTGAATGCATTATAAGGAATAGTATAGGGAACATAAGTGTCTCAGTTCCAAAAATCCCGAGGCACTATGCTGAAAATGAGCATTTTCTACGACAATTTCCACGCTTGTTCGTGTCTGCCAGAGCCTTTGGCTCACAAGGTGGACACGGCCATGCAAGAGACTTGGGTCTTAAGTTAATTTTATCCCTACCGGCCTCTTGTGCAGCCGTGTAGGATAGGATAGGATAGGATAACTTTATTTATACATGGTTTTTCCATCAGTTGATTTAGTTAATTCTATACTAGAAACCTATCTATCTAACTACAATAATAATTTGATAACAACAATCAAATAAAAGAAAGAAATAAAAAAAAAAATTCTGCTTTTCATGGAGGCTGTGTCTAAAATTTACTTAGGATTAAGATCTTACTTTAAACTGTGGCGACTTAATTTAGATTTGAAATCAGTCAGCGAAGACGCTGTCTACCTTGTGAGTCATACACTTCTATGAACCCCACACTATAGGGGAATCCTTGTTTACAATATTTGCCTCATTAGCATAAGCGATTCAGTTTCTGATGGAGCTAAAAATAAATCAGTTCTGAATATCGAAAGGTCAAAGTACGATTAACTCGGCCAATGAATATGAGCCTAGTACATTGAATACTTTTTGTGCAACACAGGTTTAAAAACTCAGAATTTTACATAGAATGTATGAGTTCATTAGTGCTTTTGCCACCCAGAAATTTTGCAGTTTTTGATGGACTATTTCTCCTTGACTATTACACCCAAAGAGCTAAAAATTTCACCATGTACTAAGGCTTTGTAGCTCTTTAGCTGCCTGAAGTCAATTTGTATCTAACATGCTTCCTTCTTTATGCAAAGCTGTATGTAAATGAGCAAAAATGTAAACAATGACATCAGCATGAATCCGCCTATACCTTCTACTGAGCGACAAGAACACAGTATCTCCAATAAAGAGAAAGTTGCCAACTAGAGTGTCAGGTTTCTCTGTAGAATTTGAGAACTATGGCTTTCTCCGACATATCAAGGTCCATGAAGTCAAATTCCACGTGTTCGGTGTCATTGAAGTCATCACAGGAATCACTGTCTGAACTGCTTCTCTCAGACTCCGAGTGAATGGTTTCCTCCTCATTCTTGTGCAATACAAAGTAGATTTCTGACACGCTTTCCAAACGTTCCAAATTTCCCGAATCCAAATTTAAACACTGATATTCTTCTTGATTACACTCCATGATATAAACTAGACAGATTGGTTTTCCCAATGACTGAGAGATTTTGTGTTTCTGTAACTATAGCAGCAAAGCGTGTGCCATTGTGTGAGTCTGTGACTGGGCTCAATATTTGACTGTGAGGGGTCTGTTGCTAGACCAAGTGAGAGTTCTCTCACTTGATGTTGTTAACAGCTCGCTTCTGATTGCTGTATTTTGCGGACACACTAGAAAAATATTATTGTATCTACCTTCTTAAATTTTATTGTATGGTATTTTTTTTGCTCAGAACAGTTCCATACTGCTTCAAATTTAAATTAAGACCAACTCAAGAACCGACTGAGTTCGTTCAAATGTATGCGTTAGCTTACTTTGGGAGTTTATATTAAAAATAGACCTCGTCTGAGTTTATAAACTGAAATATAAAACATTCAGGGGTTTAATCCAGTATGTATTTTTTGGTTAGCACTGTTTCTTTTCTTTTCTAGTTTCTTTTTAATGATTTGTATCGCCAGATGGACATTCAAGAATTTAATACTTCGAGGCTTTTAATGAACACTCATAATGGTGACTTTTCATTTCTCGTTGATCCTGCTATGTGTCTTATGGCACGCGTGCTATATGACACCCATGCCTTATTGCATGTGTGCCAAATTGCATGTTAAGTGTGACATTTAACATGCCACCTGAGACAAAAGCAAACAAAAGCTACCGTGACACTCGTTGTTTTGCTTATTAAAATGCGCATATCCGTGACCTTATGACATGCTTAGCGTGCCGTGTCATGGCACGCGTGCCCATGCATTCACCTTTTTCCCAAATTCCTGTGGAGGGTCACATATCCTTCATCCATTTAAAATTGCTTTTTAGTAAAGGACCTGTGGGTCACATATTCATGTTATTGTAGCCCAATCTACAAAAATGCATTTTTTCCATCAAAATGTAAAAATTTGTAGCCAAATTTCAGCTTGTGTACAGAAATAAAACTATGGCGTCCAAAAGATACAGTATTTGGTTCTACCATTTTAGTGTGGTGTTGCTCTGGTTTCAAGTGTGAACTGGTGAAAGTTCTTAATATGTGTAGATGTTTTTCAGCTCTGTCGAACAGCATGTACAGTACTGTGCATTTATTCAGTTTATGTTAATTTCTGAATAAAGGCTGATAGTTTCGAAAGAAACTGTTTGGGGCTGCATCGGTGGGAGTAACAAAATAATTTGGATATATCAACAAAGTTGAAATGGTAAATTGGCCACCGTAATGATTACAAAAGCTGACGTTTCGAGCGTTAGCCCTTCGTCGGAGCGAATAGAGGAATTGTGGGTTGTGTGTGCTTTTAAAGGCAGAAAATGGAGCTACGTTATTGGTGGGTTAAGACTCGCCATGTCATTTTTCACTGTCGAAGTTCTCGCAATTCATTGTCTTCATTCGCAATGTAATAGTGCCAAAAGTCTAAATTAGTAGAGGCAACAAAAAAAGAAACGAATTTCCGCTCTACCCCTTCTCATAAAAGCTACGCAGCTAATAACATCGACAACATCATTGTCGATGTTAACCGACATCGCTAGGGCCCGTTAAACTACGCAAACGATAACTTAGCTAGTCCCCCCCCGCGTCGAATATCCCAAGCGCACCGATCAGGATATGTACGAAGGGCTAACGCTCGAAACGTCAGCTTTTGTAATCATTACGGTGGCCAATTTACCATTTCAACTTTGTTGATATATCCAAATTATTATGTTAATTTCTGTTTTGAATGACAACATGTAGTGGGAAAATCATGTCTTTTAACAGCAGAATAATACCTTAGTTTGTTTGAATGAAAATAGCTCTTGCAGTCAAAATTCAGGCAGATAATTCTCTGACCTCTGAGCCCTATTAAACCCCTTGTGCAGAGTGTTCAATGCTGCCTGCAGTTGTTTAATTGGTATGGATATTTACAAGCAAAGACATGGAAATGAAACAATTGTAGGTAATATACTGTGATGTAGTCCCATGTAGTTTTAAGCAGGGGAAGTGAGCATTTATTCTGCAAGAGTAAAGCTTTACTGCTGGTTTTTGCAAGTCCTGTTGCTTTTTTATCTCCAAGCACCCAAAAATTCAGCTACCCTAGCCATGATTCTTCAGAAATGTTGTTTTCCCAGAGGTTGGCAGCATGGATAACAGCAGCTTAGAACAATGTCTGCTTGATATGTTTCCAATTCCAAAGTGTGCATGTTGTTGTAAGATGCATTGAGGTATAAGCATCTGTCTGTGCAGAGTTATGCACCTGTATATTTCTGTGCATGTAAACTGTGTAATCTATGTCAGGTAACAAAACAGGCTGAGAAACAAAACCTCAGCTCACTACCTGGTTGATGTCCTGTGACACAGAAAGAAGTTTTCATTTAGTTGTTTGGGATAAAAATTTTCCCTTACTAGTCAGGTGTATAATTTTACATTAACTTCTTAGGCATGTTAAATTTCAATGAATGTGACTAGAGGCTCTTTATGTTCTTCAGAAGTTACTTTGGGAAATTTTTTTTTTTCATACTGATCAGTGGAGGCTTGTTCATGTAAACAGTTAATGCCATAAATGAACCTGTCATCATAGGCTAAATTTGACCTTGTTTCAATCATGTGCACATGTTATATGTACATGTATTTTTACATTAACTAGGTAATGCGAGAATTCTTCGAGAGCAGCCCATCCAGGAATGCTTCATCCTCTGAACCAACTATTACAGCAGACTTTGAAGTAATGAGGCAGAGACTTTTGGATTGTCTGGATTCATTCACAAGGTAAACTTGATGATGATATTGGTAATAAAGGATTTATGTGGTACAATTTCTATATGAATATGCTCCAAAGTGCTTTACAACATCCCCTGCTAACCAGTGCAGAGAAGACAGGGCGCAACACTAACTTTTCAACTTACTAGCCAAGTGGCTGGTGACATCTTAGATGCTACGACAATGTCAGTTCGTTTACCAGCCAAACTGGATAAAGGAGGACCAAAAACCACCAACCATAACTGAATTTCTACTAGTCTGTGGCTAGTGGGCTACCATTAGTGTCGAGCCCTGGAAGATGTGGAAGATAGGACCTACAGTTTACCATTCTTATCTGAAGAGACTAGAACAGCAGCTGTTTGCAGATGTCTACGTATGCAATACATTTCCCTCTGTTATTTTAAGACCCAGATTGTTGGGCAATCTGACACTACAACCTGAACTAACCATCTTATAACATTTAAGCTTTCTGGAGTGTAGTAATACTTAGACATAGTACATTATATAAACTTAAACCACATGACACTTACAGTGTACATGTACTGGCAACTAAACAATTCAGCATGTACAGTTTCTTGTATTTTTCAATTTCTCTGAACCTTGAATCCAGATTAAATGTCGTAAACATGAACATTTAGTAACTAAGGGTATCATTGAATTTTAGAAGATCTGAAGTGCTGCCCCCCCCCCCCCAAAAAAGAAAAGAACTGACAAAATAATTCTAATAAATAAGTGATTAAATAACTAGATAAAAGCTGTTGTATGGGAAGGGTAATATGTTAACTGTTTTGTCACAAACTCCCCCATCCTGAATGTGTAGGCGTAATTTTCTCTGCGTGACTTATTCATTAACAACTCAATTGGCAATTCTTCTTTACATCTGTGATAGATGAGAGTCTCATTGGATATTTTCTTCTCACTAGTGCACCCTTTACTATTCAAAGACTGTGTGAGTTGATGATGGAACCCAGGAAAAACTACAGCAACAGTGAAAAATTCATGAGAGGAGTTGAAAAGGTACAGTAGAGTGTGAGTCACAGTGTGCTTTGGTAGTCAGTCATACAATGCATTTGCAAAGACATTTAGTGAGGACACTTGGGCATTTGATTAACAAGTCAGATTGAAACCTGGTGGTCCAGAGCGTGAGACCTGTTGTACTGGCAATCTCTGTTTGGATGGTTTTATTGGTGGCGCTGAGTTGAATTTCTTTGTGGTGCGTGTACATCTGTGCAACTTGGAAGTAGCAAACACTGATCTGCTTCATATCTTGTTGGATTGGAATTTGAGTGGATTGCTGTGTTTCATCTTAAAACCCATCCTTTAACTGTCATGCTATTTAGTTGGCTACTTTACACCATGTGGTGTAACGTCACCATACAATTATCAAGCAGTAACCCTAGTCTACATCAATATTTGTCCTCCATTTATTCCCAACAAAAGGAAAAAAAGCCAGCTCAAGAGTTCCACTTATTTTAACTTTGCATGGAAGAAAAATAAGTCTGTTTTGCATATTGCATCTGACACCAATTGTGGTAGAGTCCAGTGATAACGAAAGTACAAAGCTGATCTTAAATACTGCTGTAGAAAGTACAAAAAAGCCAACCAAATTTGCTGTCAGATGCAAAATGTAGACTACTGCTTCATGAAAGAACTTTACTGACAGTACACTTACAAACTGAATGAAACAACAGCAACACATTTTCATACAGTATATTTCTTTGGACACAACTGGGTAAAAGTTCTACAAAAAGTGGTGACCATCACTGTTTACCTGTTAACTCCCAGAAGTGATGAATATGTAACTTCTGCCTATAATATCCACACATTATCCAGCAAACAGGATATGAGAATACTCAAACTTATCAGGCACAAGTTATCTTGATATAATGTCAAATTCCTATAACTAATTTACAAGGAAATGTGTAGTTAGAGGGGAGAATTAACAGTACTGTTAGGTCTCGGGAGTGAAAGGGTTAATGTTACAAAGAGTATATTGATCTCTTTGGAGATGTTTAATACATGAAAATCACTCTACACCAGAATCTTCTTGGATTCACCTTAAGATTGCAGTGTCGCTGAATTCCTGTCACAAAATACATTGATTTTAAGTGTGTCTGAAGGGAAAGGTAACTAGTTGTGTTTTACTACTCAGCACATGTACATTGTATTTGTGCTGTGGGGAGATCAGCAATTTTTGCAGGAGTAATGTTGACCAGAGTATTTTCTTCCTATGGCAAGCAAAGGAGCTGTGGCTTGAATTGCTCAAGAGCACACCATAATCAGTCACTTTGTTAACCACCGATTTGTCTTTTGGTTCTGTTTCCATTTGCATATCTCAACTTGTGGACACTCTTATTTTCAGAATGTACTTGTGGTTAGCACAGTGGATTTTGGCAGAGATGAAGTTACTGTGTAAGTACATAAAGGTTTTATTTTTTAATGCTCCCAGACCCCTCAACCCTTATTAGTGACTAAAAATGTAACTTTCGTGACAAATTCACTGCAGCAAGTAATTTATAGGTGTTGATAAACTTATCAACTTGACAGAGCTACATGTATGTTGACTTACTGCATAAGCACCAAGTTCTTTTAAATAATTCAGAGAGAAAGTTCAGTAGCCGTAAAGGGGAATTCCTATGTCGTGCTGTAATCTTGGACGTTTGAGACTTTGTCAAAGAACATCCACTGATACTATAAGGTGGTTTGCAACCAATCTCTAGAGACACAGGTAACAATGGTGAAAGGAACACATGCTGGTGGACGAACAAAAGAAGCTAATGAGGTATCTATTGTTTACGTCCACCAACATGGCGGCAATGACGTAACGTGCAAACCACCCATGCGATTCTTGAATATCTACGGTATTGTAGCTAAGTAATGTTTTTTTTCCATCAGCGATGTTTTTCGAGTGAATGTTGCATAGCGGATTTCTTTTCTTATTTCTGCCAGCTATGGACTCACTAACAACATTGATGGGCAGCACACGTTGTCAAATGTCCCTAATGGTCCAGTTACAAACGGAGTTATGAGCTTAGGAGCCTCGTCTGAGGGAAGCTTTGTCGCAGACCATGGTTACGATGAACGACTTTCGCCCCATGTCACGCCAGATAACGTGACGCTAAATGTCACACCAGGCACAAATGGACCTACACCCTTAAACGCACATGAAAATGGGCATGATACTCAAGAACATTTTAATGAAGCCAATTCAACAGCCAATTCCACCGGAGTGGAATCGGAAGCCTCGTCAGTTCCACCAGAACACGAAGTACGCGAAGAAAAGAGTGAAATACAGAGTACAAGAGACGCAGAACATGTTGAACTAGAGCAGGCGCCACAAAGAGATCGTAATGATGGGTTGCCTGTGACTTGTGCATCTGGGAGTCCTGCAGAAGAAAAAGAAGCCACCCAAGTACCTCAGAAAGATTCAATACAACCATCAATAACGGAAAGAAGTGAGTGGAGGACTTGAAATTGAACGAGTACAGTGTTATACAACCTAAGGAAAGTCAAGTGTGGTACATTTGAACATGGATTTCTTTGAATCACTCTACACTGTAACTCATTCCACCCTCATTCTGAACCAGAAGAAAATAATCAGCCGTTTTTCAATCCTCAAAAGCCTGTTGAGGTAACAGTGCCTTCCCTTGCCTTCCCGTGCTCTCCCCTGCGCTACCCTTCCCTCTATCTCTCGACACTTCTTTCCGTTTTAAGCACGCGGAACAAAAGAAAAGGGACGGAAAACCTCTTAAAATAACATAATAAAAATTACAGAATAAACGAATTTTAATATTAAATCAATCAATGAATCACTCAAAAATTTGTTTTAACATCACATCCTTTCGACTATTTTGTCTTATTTATTTTCAAAACCTTTTCTTTAATTTGATTTTCAGAAAGTGACTCAGCCGAGCAACAGACTCTTGAAAGAGAGACTTCAAAAAGCCCCGAGAAAATCGAAACAAATGGAGATGAAGAGCCGATGGATGAAAATTAACATACAGTGTATATGTACTTCAGTTCAGTGATAATGTTCCTGTCTATCAACAAATGACTGCTCCCAATTCCTTCGAGTTTGAAAGACAAGTAACTTCACAAGATGAAGTGTTCATTGCCGCATTAACTACATTTTTTAACTGACACATTTAAGTTGTTTAGAGCGGTCGTTCAAACGAAAGAACATTCTCTTGTTTGCATAATTTTTATCTTAGTAATATTTTGTCAGTGTTTGTTTTCTCATTCACTGTTTATAATAGGGAAAGTCCTTGTAGACCTCAAAGAGAATTTCCAATTTTTATTGTCCAATCAAATTGCAACGCTGGCTTTTATGTTTCCCACTGCAACCATTACTTTGCAAACATGTTTCGTACGACTTAACTTCTCCCATGTTGGAGAGTCAGACTTAATTTTTTTACCAATCAAGGGAAGTTCTGCGCAAAGATACCTTTTTCTTCAGTTATATACTTTATACCTTCGCAATTAGCACTGTCCATAGTTCTATCCATAAGGTCAACTTTTCTTTACATATTCCGTTTTATTTTATGCGGTTTGTCTTGAATGTCCGTGTTCAGGAATCTCAAAGGTGTCATTTCTGATTTTGATTCCCTCCTTTTTTAGCTTCCTAGTCGTAGCTGCTGCTTTCTCATTATTTTACCCATCCAATTGTCATCATTCCTTTCTTCCAGAGAGAGAGAGAGAGAGAGAGAGAGAGAGAGAGAGAGAGAGAGAGAGAGAGAGAAAGAATGGATTTCCGTAACATAAGTTTCTCTAAAAAAAAAAGTGACGCTTCGATTCATGAGCTCTATATAACTTAACTTGGGTCCAATTTAACATTAAACAGAGGCTATTATATCTAGCGTAGAAATTTCTTTTTTATCCATAAATAGGAATTGCCTCCCTTAAGTGTAGAGAACCAAAGCAAAGAATTAAAATAGTCGAAAAGTATTATTCGCAATCTGCCTTCAAATTAATTGCAAACGCGTCGATCAATTTGAAGCTTCAAACCCTAGCCTAGCCCTAATCCTCCCCTCCCCCACTGGGCATTTAACTTTTGAAGACTGCTCTAATTTCTCGCCCCCCAGGGCCAAAATTGTGTTCAAATGTCCTACTTAAGTCCTGGCTTCAGGGGATGGTAATTTTCGCCGTAACAGGCGAGATCAGCGACCTTGACTTTCGTGTTGACCTTTTCTTCCAAGCTATCTGTTCACAATAGTGAATTCTACCTTTTTAAAAACTCATGAATTCCGCTGGAATGACTTGTGTGTCCGGTTCAAATTCCCACCCCACCCAGACAAGGTTCGAATTCCCTAACCCCGTGCACTGAGAACAGTCAAATGGCCGTGCTGGCCTTTTTGTTTCAGTTGTTTGGTGGAAAACCTGTAAACTAGCTTCTAGCTAAGTGTTTCTCCACGTTTAAAAAAAAAATGTTAACTGTTAACTGCCTGGTGGGATGGCTGTTGAGGCTTCGTGTTTAGAAACTGTTTAATTTTTAGCAATTATACCGTTTGAACGCGAATTGTTTCTAGGTCACGAAACGCTAAGCTCTTTAGCAGTGTAGTCCCAGGCACTCCGTTAATCTTTCCTTCCCGACCGCTGGTCAAGAGAGCTGCCGAGGATCGAAGACCGATCCAAGTAGTGATGAGCACTGAATAAGGAGCGAGACATTACTAGACTAAGTACCCATTTATCAACATTTTAGCCTCTAATTGAAAACTGTCAGTCACATCTGCAGAATTCAGAGTGTCATGGTTCTAGATATCCTATGATCACAACTTTTTTTCGGCTCTGTCGTAACCCCTCGTTTCCAGGGGGTAAACACGAAAGGAGTGGGTCTGCATCTAATTAAATGGTTTCTGCCTTGAAATATCCGAACGCAGATTGCAAGTCTCTCTGAAGATTGCGGGTGTGTTTGTGACTCTGTTTGTTATTATTTCTGTTCTTATTTTCTCTAATGCATGGCTGGTTGGAAATTGTCTTTGATTATGTAAGCTGCTGCCCGAAAGCTTTGTGTACGTCACTGGATCAGCCCCAGATAAGTCCATCGTAGGCGTCGATATTTCACTGATTTGTGCGAGCTTGAAAGTGACCTAAGATTTCAAACCGTACCTTCGGGTTAAATATCCGACGACTCACATTTAAAAGATTGTTGACCTCGCGATTAAATACACCGTAATCGGACGTTTTTGATCTTTCGATTTCCGAAGGAGGTCGATTCCTTCGTGAATTGGGCGATCGATTCAACAAAGTGGTATGCGGAACTTTTTAAGAGTATAACTGTAATCGATTTGCTGACTTGACTTTCATTCAGTCTGTTCTGATCCGAGAGTTAGCGCACAAGTTCAACATTGTCCATTTAGGTAAGGAGTACGCTATTAACAGTTACATTGCTGCGAAATAATTTATATCAAGATATTTTACGACAGCAAGAATACATATAAGACTCGCATTGTAACAATATTTTGAACCAGCTTGCTTTCTGTTGACATTAGAAAATATGGAAATTCTGTGGATAAAAATCTCGGAGACTCGGAAAACCAGCTGTTGAAAGAGGTGTTGTTGAAAGAGGTGTTGTTGAAAGGATGATAAATAAATTAGTGCACAATTTAGTTTACTGCATGTGATGCTGTGATTGCACTCCATTCAATTCAGTTACCACTTTATTACATCCATTTGAAACTGCAAAAGTCTGTCACTCAGATACAAGATTTTTTAGTTTGTACAAATGTTTTGTTGATCCAGTTGTGACCAGGTTTGCTGAAAGTTACCAAAGTTGTTTTTTATTTCCTGCAATTTGATTGGTTTCTCTAAACATGCAATTAGCTGTCATGTATTATTAAAGCATCCTCATTGGCTGGGAAAAGATGCAATTTAGAGTAAGAAATGGTTGATTTGTAGATAAATCGTACCAGTGAGAGCCAATCAGATCACAAGAATCACCAGTACTAGTGATTTCAAAATGAATGTAATGAAAAAAGGAATTTTTTTCTTTTGGTGCAGTTGCCCAATAATATTCAATTGAAAGAGAACATTAAATTCATTTTACCAGAAGCAAAGCCAAAGTAGAATTTCACTTTCTTTCTCCATCTAATTTTTACACTGTTCTGCATGTTCTGAATATTTATTTTATGTTAATTCTCCTCTCTCCAACTTGTTCACAGATACTAACAAAGATGGGTGGAAATCAGTCCAACTTGCCTCCTCGACCACTGGGCTTTGAATACATGTCTATTGCTGTTCGTGAAACAGACAAATTTCGTGTCATTCTTGGCACTGATCGGGAGATAAGCATTATCCGCCAGGTTATTCAGGAATCATGGCCTAAAGGGATACAACAAGAGACATTCAAAATGAATGGTGTACATGAATTCAAATTCAAAGGAAATCCATTCTGTGTTGCCACTTCATCAAGTGATGCAATTATTTCCAGGAAAATGGCTGGAAATGTTCTGCACAGGCTTTACCATGATGGATGGAAGTTACAAATGTCAAGTGACCTAACACAGACAACTGATCTCACAACCTGGATTTTCAAGAAAGATACCGCTGCCATCTGTCCATCTTTGCCATTTCTTATTGTGGGCCTCAGCAGTTTTGACAGTTTGATGGTGCTAAATGGTCCAATGGATCTCCATCACTTGTTCAAAGATGTCATGGAGAAGTCCTGGCCTCAAGGAATACAGCGATGGACGTATGAGAATGATGTTTTAATGATCAAATTGAAGGGAAATCCTTGGTATGCAAATGGTGAGGATACAGTTCATGCAAGAGTGATTTTACACACTCTCATTGGGGCACTGCAGGTCAAACAGTGGAAACTTTATGCAAATTCCAACCTAAGAAGGAGCGCCAATACTCTATTTTTTGAGTATGATCCTAATATTGTTCCTGGTATGCAGTTTTCTCCCATGCCTGGAATGCAGCTCTCTCAATCGTACTTCACAGTCAGTCTCAACAGTCATGACTTGTTGAGACTGATTGGTGCGCCAGAGGGGCTGGTGTCTGCTGTTCGAACCACTCTTCAGACTTTCTGGTCAAGAGGCATTCAAGAAGAAAGAGCCTATGCCACCAGTTGGCAATTTAAGCTACGAGGCAATCCTTGGTGGGCATCAGGTGATGAAGCTGTGGACTCAAGGTTCCTGGTTTTGAAGATACTTGAAGCTTTGCAAGCTTATGGATGGAGTGTGGCAGCCAGTATTGATTGCTCGAGGAAAGATTCTGACAAGAGTAGTGTGATCTTTAAAACATCACAGCCAACTCAGTCTCATTTCTTCTGTGTCAGTTTGCATGAGACTGACAAGTTGCGGCTAATAAATGCGCCTGAGGATGTCACAAAGGTGTGTAGTCATCTATGTAATTTTTACATTAAGTACCTTTTTAAAGAAAAAAATTTGGCATGATACCCAAGATCACCCTAGGGGTCAGGTAACTCTGAAAATTTTGCCATTTTTTATCAGCTGTTCATTTAAAGTATTCTCAGTCTAGGAGGGAAAGGTTACTTGCAGTTTGAAAGTATTTTTTGTGTGTCACTAATGCCTGTGGAATTCAGAGATCAACTGAATGCATACAGACAGTCATAACTCGCAGTCTCCCCTCAGAGGCATGGAAGTCTTGTTTTTGTCACCTACTCTTACTAATAACACTGACTAAATACAAGGAAAATTATCCCCTTTTACTACTTTTGAGTTCTCATTCTGGGTGAAGAGAGCAGTTTTAAGTTGTAAGCCTATACTGTCAATAACCAAGTGCTCAAATCTGACTGGTTCTTCACAGCACAATTATTGGCTTGTGCTACACCAAACTCCCACTTGACTTGAGGAAGCACCTTTAACTGATAAAGTTTGACAAGTTTGACATTAATCAGGGTCAATATTTTCCTAATTACTCCCTGCATTGTACTCCACTCAGTCCCATTCACTACCAACAATGTTAGTCTCATTGTCACAGTATTTCATACATTGATCAGTTAACTTGCTCAAAATTAAAACAATATGTGCAGTAATGCATACTTTTCACATTTCTACAAATTGGTATTTTTTTTAATAACATTAATTGTACAGTTTCAATTGAAGTGTCTGTTTTATTGTCTTGTTTCGCTCAGATTTGTCAGGATGTGATCCAATCCCAGTATCTCCTTGGCATTCAAAGGGTGCAAATTTATGGTAAAAGCCTTGAGTTTAAATTTTTGGGTAACCCTTGGAGTTGTGGAATTGATGGTCATGATGGTATCCATGGCAGAAGTATGTTACTACATATATTTGCTGCTCTGGCGAGCCGCTTTTGGCGACCAGTCATGTCAGCAGATGTGTCAGCCAAATATGTCCACCAGAAAGATGGTCCTGATTATCCATTAGATGTGGATTCTATATTCTTCACGTATGATCCCACTGCAGCATCACTATCTGCACCCTCCTATATGCAGCCATCGCCCTATGGCTTTCTTCCACCCAATCAGCCCCCACCACCTTTTGCTCCACCTGCCTATGGAGTATATCCAAATCAGCATTAAAGTGGTATGACAGAGTCTTGCATATTAAATGATTTCGACAAATGGTGTTCCAAGAGAAGCTTTTGACTGTAATACTGCACAACAAACCGTCTGATAAGAGATTTATTATCCAACACGCCAAATTGTTATTTCAGTATGGGGGGCGAATTTCGCGGATTTTTTTGGAGTACAAATTTTGCGTGATATTTGTACTCGTCTCGCACGTTATTTGTACTCCACGAAGCATAGTTGGATAATAAATGTCGATACATTATATAGTGGAATGAAAGCAAGCTGGCAGCACAGAAAGTTTTTCAGTTTCGTTAATTCAGATCTCAACGAAGATAATGTCACATCGGCGGATGTAACAGAAACTTGGCATTCAACTGTCGGCAGATCTTTAATAATTATGTTATTCACCGCCCTACTCAAGATTATTATTACTTGATCACGAGGTCACGTGATTTAGTGTGAAAAAAAAAAGTTAACAGTCATTGTAATCCGCCCAAATCACTCGAAATTGATCAGTTACTGGTATATTGTTATCATAATGACGTAGAGTGTTAAAAGAACTATTAAAAGAAACTATAACTGCCATGGGGGACTGATTCTTTAATAAGGACAAACAACTCTAAGACAATTTTCAAAACGACTTTTGGAACGTTTAATTGCAATAACCGATGACGGCGGCCGGCATAGATCGAGGAAAGAAACAAAATGAAGCGAAACGACACGTTAAAAATTTGTTGCCATATTGATAATTCCCTGTCTAGCAGCGGAAAAGCTGCACGAAGCGATAGGATAAAATGCAGTCGAACTTTCGGGACAAAACTGCACAAACTACGATGAACAATACGGTTTAAATACACGCAATGTTACCGTAACGTTACGAAATGACACAAAGAAAGCGCACGCAAAACTTTTACTATAATCAGCACTGTTTGAACTGAGAACAATGAATAAAGGAAAAAGAATGAGGCGTTTGCGATCTACAGAAACAAACCCTTTGAATTAAAAACTACTTAGCAATTCAGAGTTGTTCACAACGTTTTTGTCGTGAAAAGACGTTATCAGTTGCCATCGTCTTTGGAAAAATTGCCTGAGGAAAAAAAAACTTAAAATAGTTATCGATTATTAGTTGTACTATGGAGTATTTTATGGCTTGTCAGCACTAATGGAGAAGGGCGTTGGGGTTTGCGATTTTGTGGTTTTGGCTATTTTTTAGATCGGTTTTTCGATTTTTGTGCCAAAAAACTTCGGTTTTTCGGTTTTGTTGTCTATTGCGTTTTGCGGATTTTCCGTTTTCAGCATTTGGTTTTCGGTTTTCGTCAAAAATTTTGACGGGCAATCGGATTTGGTATCCGATGTGCTCTTTCGGTTTTTTCACATTGGGGTTCCTGTTTCCCTTTGATTTGAGCAGCAGTTATACGCCTCTGCTGATCTCGAATAGCCGCGAAACCAATGTGGATCCACATAGCACCACAGTAACAGGTCGATTAGGATTTTTCAACTGAGATTTGCAAATTTATTGGTTTAGACGGTTTTGCATGCGGTTTTCGGTTTTGATCGAATTTTTTTGCGGTTTTGCGGTTTCTAATAGACCACAATGCCCCGGGCCCCCTTCCTAATGGACTATTCTGATGCAACTATTCGTAAGAACCATTTGGGAATTCTCGATTTCGTCGTGAATAGATCGCGTTTTGGTGGGAGAAATGGAAAAATAATGATGATATGTAGAGACGCACGCGCTACCAGAGCATGACATGAAGTGTAGGGTATGTAAAGCATCAGTAATTAAGTTTTTGAAATATTATACTTCGTTAGGTTTATACTGACTTTTTTACCCTCGAGACTGTTACTGATCAAGTTTCAGTACATCCTGAACCTTAACACCTTGACACCAGCATGCATCTTCTCAGTGAAACTGTTCTCTTTACATTTTCTAAGATGCTAACGAGGATAATGTGTAAAGCATTAGTGAAAAACTTTTTGTAGAAATTTCTACTTCATTTTCTCATTCAGGGCCGGTTATTTAAACAAAGTTTGGCCGTTGTTGAACAAAACCGTGTTCTAACCAATCCTCAATTTAGCCGGACCCTTTATCAAAGCAGAAAAAAGAGGGGCGAAAGCTAACATGGAACGACATTCATTGAATTAAGTCAACCCTCTTATTGAGAAAGACTGAGGCTCACTGATTGGGTATAACCGAGGTTTGGGATAGACCTCGTGTAAATACCCGGCCATTAGTTTTTACTCTCGAGACTGTTTACTGATTTTATTATTCTCACATTTATCGTTTTCGGAAATTTATGCTTGAAGGTGGATCGGCTACATGCTTCGACAGGCAAAGGAATTCCTTTTAGTAGACAAAATAAATATGACGGTATTTGACGGAGCCAGTCTTGACGGTCTTAGTGGAGACGAAACGCAGCGACATATTGTCTTTTGTATTTACTATCAGGCGAACTGAGAGATTGGCTAACCTTTCACTCCCAGAAATGATTGATGAGCAACTTCTCCATATAATATCCACACATTATCCAGCAAACAGGTAATGAGAATAAACAAGCTTATCAGGTAGAATAAAATGTGTGGTGCATCGAGGGGAGAATTCACAGGGGAAATCTTGAGTGTTAAAGGTTTAATCTCCCCCTCCCCACCCCTCTTTACCCATAATCTTTTCTCAGAGTTAGCCAACTAAGAGACTTAATCCGCACGTTCACGTGATTCTCTTCTTGAAAAATATTACAAAATATCCAAAGAAATGGGCGAAGCATTTTGTTTCGAAACAGTACATTAAAAGAAAAAAAGTGAAAAAAGAAATAGAATAAAACCTTTTTGCAACTCTGTGGTGCCCCTTTTTTGTCAAGAGATGGAAACAAACAACGGGTTGGTATACATATTCATAAAAGACCATGTTGAACAAGCATTTTTCTCGACTGCTGTAGATGGAGTGAACTAATTATGTATTTTGGTTAATTAGTTGTGGGCGTAAAATTTTATTTTAATTTTTGTCGGCTGCTTGTCGTAAGTAAACGTCAAACGCTTTCCAATTACCGCTAACTGTTAAAAAAAAAAAAAAGAAAAAAATCAGCATTATTGAAATAAGAATCAATACACATTCACAAAAGCAAAACGAGACAAAACAAACGAGAAACAAAAGCGGGAAAAACAAAGCAAAACGAAATTTAAAACTCTTGAAAGTGGGAAAAGTTTCTTGACTGCTGTCGGTTGAAACAGTCTTGGTTGTCACCAAATGGCTGCAAGCGTCAAGGGTCTCTCACTTCAAGTTGGCTGATTTAAAAGAATGACGGTATCATAATTCTAATTTTTGATCAACAGAGGGAATTAAATGGTAAATGCCGATCAGCCATGTTCATGTTCCAAGCTACATGAGAATTTATCCACCTGTAGATTGTCATTATTCATTTTTGAGTATGGTTGTTAAAATTTTCATTATTTACATGGAACATTGTCGTCATTATCGCAATTATCATTATAATTCTGTTTTTTTCTATTTCAACAACAATCTTTACCCTGCGAGTCACTATCTATTTTCAAGGAAGTTTCCTCTTTAGAAATATTGAGCGCCAAAGATAACGGCTCTTTTGAAACGTTTTTAATGTTTCGTGCCTTACGGTGCTTTTACAAATTTTATGATAGTCATAAAATCTCTCAATCATTACTCTCGATCTGAATTGACACATCTATTTACATGTATTCTCGATTTATTCACAGGCCCACAGACCTTAAGACACAGAAAATGAAGTGCATATACCAGTACTATTAGTGTTAGTGAAAGCATTTGTTTTTGCACCAGATTTAAATGTGACTTTATCATAAAATATTGTTAGTAGTAATGATACTGTTATTTTTGACAATTTTAAAACTGTCACAATTGCTATTTTAGTAGAATGGGAAATTGGGAAATTATCACTTTTATGCCCCATGTTAATTGTCTGCTAAATTGAGATAATTCAATGTATTAATACTAGTCTTATTTGGCAAGCTGATCTTGGTGAAGGGGAAAGTTTGGATGAAGCTTTGGTGGACTCTGCCGAGGTAATGTCTCTATTTCCTTGACACTGCCAAAACTATGGCTTAACTGGTCAAAGTGTGAAATTGTGCTTTGATTGATTTACTGGATATTCCTGGTTAGAATCCTTGATATATCTTTGCCTGCAATTGACATGCTGAACAATTGATGTTCCATAACAATTCTAATATGAGGACAAAATCCAGCAAATTCACCTCTACAGCCGTGTCAATGTGTCCTTTCATGAGTTTCCAAGTGTTGACCAAATGCAAATTTCTTCATTGTGCTGTGAATTTGAACTGTACATGCAGCACTGCATGGTAATATCAGCAAAGCAAGGTGACATTTTTAGGGTTGAAATGATAATTAAGATGGTTTCTTTGCAATTCTTTGAACACCATAGAAATTATTCCCTTAATCTTGGGAAATAATTTGGTGAATGTTCCTTAATGTGAGTAACACTTCAATGAATCCTTCAAGTCTAGGTCCCCAAGAGAAGGCTCGAAAGTTTTAGTGAAAAGGTAATTACTTAATGTATTTGAAAAATTATCCAATGCAAGTCTTTCGTTAGTGAATAGTAAACCGTTCAGTTGGAAAACAACTTTTGAAGACATAGGTGATCAAAACACAAATGACTTGAAGATGTGATTTTTACATATTTTGTAGGAATCTTGCAGACATTCCCGTGATAATGAGAGTGACTGTGGTGTTGACAACAACAGACATGACGATGAAGACAGTAGAATTGTGAGTGTAGTCAGTGGTTTGAAATGAAGTCTACCGGTACTCTTCTTTGTTAAGGACATTAGCCAGAAGGCTCATTTTTTGATTGATTATTGATTAGTTCACTAATTTCAGAATGATCTTAAATAGCCACATAGTTACAATGCTTATCTGTTTTTCTGTATTTCTATTGGTTTTGTAATCGGACCTTTCAGCGTCACCACGCGCATATAAAAGGCAAGTTTAGCGCCCCTTTAATCAGTTTTTCGTAAGTTTTGAATAGTCTCGGTAAACTTTCGCTCTATCGTTTTCTCAACCTCTGGCACAAGCGGGACCGATATGTGAGTACCCTCGTAACTTTTTTTCCTTTCTAGTCTTTTCAGTGTTGGGCGACAATATACGAACAAATATTGCAATATTCTCTATGGTTTAAGATTTAAAAGCCAAATTCGTGCCAAATTGCGAGTCAGTGAACGCCCATCATTTTAGATAGAACAATGGGCTGTTTACCAGCCACCGCAATTCTTTTAATTTGTTTCGAAACTTTGTTCTGTTTAACTTGTATTGTTAATCTCGTTATCGGCGTTAGAGCCCAGTATTTGACACGCGATTCTTTGATTATGTATTCCGCGGTTTTTCAGTAGATTGATAGAACTTCGTTGTATTGTTCTTTCAGTTTACAATCAATAGATTGATTGATTGATTGTGAGAATAATCGTTATTTTCGTCATTGATTGTGGTTCGCGGTCGACTGCCTTTTAAGGATAAAGATTCGTGCAAATGGTCAACTTTAGTTTGCTCATTTCGATCAGTAAAATAGTCCCCAAATACCTCGTTAACCGCGTTTTGGAGCAACACGCCCTTGAACTTGAGAATTTAGATTTTGGTCACCGCAAACGCCACATTCCTATTTTAAAACTTGAAGGAAAAATTGCAAATTTTTTGAAGAATTTTTTTGATTAAAACATTTTCTTTTTTCTGCAGACTTTCAAGAATTAGTAATTTGTATTTTTTTTGTAACATCTCATTTGTTCAACTTGATCAATAAATTTTTATTTCTATTTAATTTTTTTAATAATTTGTTCTTAAGTTGCTATGATTTATTCAATACCCATATTGTAATTCATATTTTTAAGCAATACCAATAATATAAGTTGTATTACAAGTTGTAGTTGAGTTTTATCCTAGTTAAACTTCATTTTCCTTCCTTGATGTTGCTTTTTCTTCAAAAAAGGTATGAGATCTATTATTACTAGTTTGTCCATTTGCATGTATTTTAATGTTTTCAATGCAAATTGCTAACATATTTTCCATTGGACCAGCTGCCAAGGGAAAACATTTCATTTGATATTTGCTTCAATAATCAAGATGAATAACGTCCAGGTTTAGCACTAGGTAAATATGAGTGTATTACTATTGTATAGTTAATTGTAAATAAATTTTGTAGAAACTTTGGAAACATATTTGCACTGACCTTTTTAAGTTTCATAATTACTTAGGTTTATTACGATCTCTTTATTTTTTGTTTGATAAACATTGGGAATTAGCAACTTTGCTACTGACAATAATTATATATGATCCTAAAGGGTTTCTGTGTTTTTCAATATTAAGATGAAGATGCATCATTTTCGTATGCATTTTACACTGTTGTGAATCACAATGTTATCCTCTCAAAAAATGTATGGAAAGTTTGAAACCACTCAAAGGATATTCTTCAACCCGTCAATCTTAAATGTATACCATACTTTCAGGGTTTTATATTTCATTCACATCTTCTAGGGTTCTTCAATCCTTGCCTTAAATCTTTTCGTTTCAATCTATACCTGGAAAGAGTTGTAAATTTGGGGTTTAATTTTAGCGGGTTTTAATTCATACCTTACATCCAGGGGTTTAAAATTAATGCCCGAAAGTCAGGGGTTTAAAATTTGTGCCTTCCATTCAGGGGTTGTAAATCTGTGCCTTACACTCAAGGGTTCTTACGGTCAGGGGTATTTTACATTTGTCTTACATTCAGGGCTCCTACATTCAAGGTCTTACAAGGTTCTTGCACTTAGGGGTTCTTACATTCAGGGTTCTTACAATCAGGGGTCTTACATGCATTCAGGGGTTCTTACAATCAGGGGTTTATATCAGTGAGTTTTATATGAATGGGGTATGCCCAGATGTTGATATTGATCGTTGTTCCGTCCGTGTAGGGGTTTATATCAATGGATCTTACATGATGGGGCTGTGCCCAGATGTTGATATTGATATCTGATGTTGATATCTAGGGGTTTTAATCAACGTGTCTTGTATGGCAGGCTGTACCCAGACGTTGGTACTGATCGTAATATCTTACGGTCAGGGGTCTGTGTTGATCATAAACTCTTACATACAGTGCGTATTCTGTGCCCAGGTGTTGATAATGAACTTACAATGTCATATCCGTGTTAAACCTGTGCCCAGTTGTTTATAGCGATGGTAAAATGCCATTAGCTAGTTACATCTAGGGGTCTGCGCGCAGACCCCTGCCCTTTCTTTCAATCAAGGGTCTTAAACCCGTACCTGACATCCAGGGGTTTTATATTTCTACCTCTATATTTTTGCTATGTAACGATGACGATTTACAAAAGGGGTTTTTTATTAAAATGTCATGGTAGTTTTATTTAAGGGTCTGTTCCCAGCTATTGATAATGATCCATCAAGGCAATTGATAAACTTGCAAACAGTTGAGAGTGAATCAGTGATACTTTAAAAAATGGATCATTTTTTTCTCTCGCTATCTTCTAAAACAAATGTCAATAAGGGGAATATGAATAAACTTTGAAAGGTCTTGGCTCGCCACCAAACACCAGCACATGCGCAACAATAACTAAAGAGCGACAATAGTGATATATTTTTATCCTAAGTGTTGTTAAAATAAGCAAGGTGACATATCTGTTACCCAAAAACGGTTTGTTTATGCGACTAAGAAAACAGTGTTTGAAAGCCTGATGAGCCACTTCGCCAGTTGCCGGCTGGCTATAAATACTGCAACAGGTACTAATAAGTAGATAAGTACACCTTCTTGAAAATACGAACAGGAGAAAGATTGTGTCTTTTGGGTGAGCGTACTGAGAGATGTCATCATTTGAAACTTTAGGGTCATTTAGTCAATTGAAAAGGAAGATTTTACTTGGGTTAGAAGAGAAGAAAATCTTCTACTTGTGAAGCTAAGCAAGTATCTAATCCTTACCTAGGCCATCTCCAATAACATTAGAAAAGAACATATATAATATTTTAAAAAATGTTATCTATCCAAATGAGAAAACAATAAGTAAGAAAGAGCCATATGACAGGTTTTGATTGTTACAGACTAAACCGTTAGTTGCTGGAAATAATGAAGAAACCATTTTACTGCTATACTGTGAAGACCGAGATCCTTATTGAGGCAGTGAAAATGGAATTTTATGCAAAACAAGTAGATTTTGCAAGTGAAGAAGTCATCTGATCCAAAGTTATAGGGTGAGCAATGGAGGGCACTGCTATGGAAAGAAATATCACACGAGATGCTAAACAAAACAAGCACAGCTTCGCCAGCGCGCTCCGCAAAGTTTCTTTTCTTCCTCCTCCAACAAAGCTTCTGTTTCGATGCTCACTGTTCACGGGCTGATCTTTGTGTTAACCTCACCTCACAGATCTTTTGTGTCCAGCATATCATGGGTACAGTTGGCATTAATTGTTTGCTATACTCCTTAGGGGATTGAATCTATCTTATGGAAACAAAGAGTAACATCCGAAGGCGCGGTTAACTGGCTTTCTACAGCAACTCTGGTTTACTTAAATTCGTCTCTGAACCCCGTTCTTTATTGCTGAAAGATGAGAGAAGCGAGCGAGTCAAGCAGCAAAGGACACAATAAAACAAATGTGTTATTTCATGAATTAAAAAACTATCCAAACTAGACAAACTGTAGAGTTTCTTCTATTTTCTTCATCTTCGAGATTTAGCACCTAAAGGAACAAAAAACTGTATGGCAAGAGAGGAGACTTCATTATGGTTAATAGATCAGCAAAGATACCATTGCATGAGGTTCTCTAGCTTTTTTAATACAAAAGGGAAAAACGGAACAAGTATATGAAAATATTTTATCATAAAACACTTGCCTTAATTTACGATTTGCATTGTTTGCTGAAATTGCTATTTTCAATTTTCCCGCTGAGATTAAGCGTAGTCGTATAGAGCATGCGTGGAGAGAGAGTATAACCAGCAATAAATCTGATGGTAAGGAGAATGTTTGGACCACTGGAGATCTCCCTCCGATCCAGAGAGGTCAAGAAAGTACGAAAACCTACACTACACACTATGACCGAAATAACCATCGCAGCGCTAGCCAAAACTTATCGAAAAAAAAAAGAAAAAAAAAAGAAAGGTTTGACAAGCTGCAAAATAGGAGCGCTTATATTTACTTGTGTACTTATTGAAATTGTCAACAGTCGATCAAATCCGTTTTGCTAAAGGCCTCCAGCCTCAGGAATAAATTCTATAGAGCCTTAGTTTATTAAAAGGCAGAGTTTTAAGAGGCAGTCTCTGAAAGCGGTGCGATGCATTTCGGTTCAAAAAATCGATTTCTTTTAAAATGTGCTCTTGAATCTGTCTTAGTCTTAAAAATAATCTAAACCACCTTGGATTTCGAAATATTGTAAGATAACTTTTTTTTCCGAACGAAAATCGCTTCAGCGCTCAAAGGCCCGTTTGTAATAGTGTCCATCGTCAAAAATGGCACAGACTTGAATTACTCGTCTTCTCTGAAAAACTCTGTTTGAGGAATTTTTATTTTGCTTCGCATATTTAGATCGATCCTTTGGGAGGAGAAATCACATAAGTTTTTCCTTTTTAACGGTTTTTTTACACTGAAAAGTATTTTTCAATTTAACATCCATGACTTTGCTTTGCCACCATGACCATAAATATGCAACTTTAAATCTCGGCTAAGCGCAAAATTCTAACCTCTTCCTCATGATCGTGATATTTTTATTCAGACTAACTTAAATAGTGTAGAGGAGTGTGGAAATATAGAAAAATTGTTGTGGTTTCGGCTAACTTCTGGTACAGCCGGTAAACATAAGATGCACACTATCAAAGATTCCAGTCAACAATTAAAAAAAGCGGACTCAATAATTCACGAAATTTACGTCTACTACCAATGGTTGACGCCTGAATTGAGCACTTTGAAGCTTTTTGATGCTTGATGATATCATGAAACAGAATTTAGGAGAGAAAAATCTCCACACCAATATAGAAAAGTACTGCCGCCGAAAGCTTACTCATTCTTTGTTCTTATCGACCTATTGTTTTGTTTGTCACGCAGTAATGAGAAAGAATAGAAAGGAATCACTAAAAGTCAGGATAGATATAAAAATGGTCATGTTAATTCAAATATTTCTAATTATCCATTTAGAAAGTATGCTTATCAATATTGTTTGAAGAACGATCATTTTAAATTGGAAATGCAAACTGTAATTTTATAATTACAGAGAACCTTAAGAAAAATAAGGAACTTTACTAATTTTAAATTACGGAAACATTTGGTAGAAACATTAATTCTGTCTAAAATAAGCTACTGTGACATTGTTTTTTATCCGCTACCAAAGTTTCTCTCAGCTAGACTACAAAGGCTCCAGTTCGCTATGGCTAGTTTCATCACTTGTAAATATGTAAACAGTATATCTACCATTTTGGATCTTGGCTGGCTACCTATCCTGGAGCTAAGGGACTACTCACTACTAAAGACTATTTTTAAAGCACTGTATTCTGATAACTGGCCCTCCCATTTAAATTTGCAAGTCGTTAAACCCGTTAGGCATCTCCGTTCCAGTGTTGCTCCAAGGCTTTATGTTCCATTTGTACAGGGCACCTTTCAGCATTCAGCAGCCATGATTTTTAACGAATTGCCAGCAAATATAAGGAATTGCACAGATTTTAAAGAATACTGCAGGCTCTGCAAGGCGTTCTTGAAGGCGCGCGCTTTGTCTTCCTTGTAAAGATATAGAAACAACCACCACCACCAACCAATATATTCTGCATATTTACTTTCATGTATAGTTTTTATTACAATTTAGTTAGTCATTATAAATTAGTTTTAATATTAAATTTTAGTATCGTAGGCCTTCACAGATGAAGAGCCACACCTTTTTATGTGGATATACTGTGAATAAACCGTTATTATTATTATTATTATTATTATTATTATTATTATTATTATAATGTGCGACGTGAACTAATTTATTGAAAAGACCCATTTGCTGTGTTCATAACCCAAAAGTTCCCTTGAAATCGCCAGAAAATAATATACTCACGAAAACACACTAAATAAACCAAGGGGATTGTAAATTTCATCGATTTTTCAAGACTTGAAGAAATGAAAGAAACCGCCCATGACCTTCATTAATATTGTGTCACGCAACGCTGTCATGCGAAATTCAATTACGAGGTTCGTCCGAAAAATATTTTACCTGGTAACTTAAAATAAGAAAGAGTATATTCATTTAAAAATTCGTATGATTCGTATTTTACAAAGTAACTGGCCTTGTTTTCGACGGTGCAGACGGCGATTAGCCTCTCGATCCTACTTTCAGCTCTTGACGCCTGGTGGTCATTGAATAAGATGTTTATAGAAAAAACCCCAACAATAAGGCATCAAGGATAATTCGAAGTAGTTTTATGAATATAGTGTACTTCTTAATCCTTTTAGAAGATCGAGTGCTAACGAGCGAGAGACTTATCGAAGGGGGCTTCGGGGTCTGTTAGAAACCGTGAAACCGCAAAAAAATTCGATCAAAACCGAAAACCGCATGCAAAACCGTTTAAACCGATAAACTTGTACATCTCAGTTGTCAAAATCCTAATCAGTCTGATACTGTGGTTACAAGTGGAGCAACATTGGTTTCGCAGCTATTCGAGATCAGCAGAGGCGCATAACTGCTGCTCAAATGGAAGAGCAACCGGAACCCCAAATATGAAAAACCGAAAAAGCACATCGGATATCAAATCCGAGTACCCGGCCAAAATTTTTGACGAAAACCGAAAACCAAATGCTGAAAACGGAAAATCCGCGAAACGCAATAAAGAACAAAACCAAAAATCCGATGTTTTTCTTTTGGCACAAAAACCCGAAAAACCGATCTGAAAAATAACCAAAACCGCAAACCCCCAATGCCCCCCTCCTTATCATTTGGAGGGTGAGACTTCATTTTGATTGACATTCCATTAGATTGTTATGATTGAGCATCAATTTTTCAAAATGCGTCTGATATACCAAAAAAGTTACCGCCATGATTCCGCGAAGAAACATCGTTTAAACCGTGATACATATCCCATATTTCAAAGTGTTTCCGTTAGCCACCCTATCTAGAAAATTAGGGAAGATTGATTTTCACTTTATACAAAATTTACGCGCAGATTCATAGCATTACTTATATCTTATTAACCAAGCGCGAGGGCCGTACTGGGAGAATATCGGCCCGAGGTCTTGACAGTATGGACCGAGCGCAGCGAGACAGTATGGACCGAGCGCAGCTTGGTTAATAAGAGATTTATTATACGACTGAGGTTCAAAGCGACACAAGTGCGATATCATTCGGGACCATTCGGGACAGTGCCCGGTCCAATACTTAGAGAATATTGGACCGGCAATAGAGCATTTTGATTGGTTGATTTTAGTTATTGGCCCTCTGGCTACCCGAGTCGTGTAATAAAACTTGTTATTGACTTGCAAAATCGTTTTTGTCTCACGGGATGCGAAGCACAAAACAAGGAATCCAAGCTTTTTTATTTTAAGCTCTTTTTTCGGAGCATTGAGATGAGTCAATTAAAGCCAATCTCAGCTCTCGACGCCTATTTCGCATAACGTTACCCGGGTATGGCAGGCCATAGGTCTTTTTGATTTGCTAGTTTTAAATCTCAGCGAAGAAAGGATACGCCCAAGGCATCGAAATGAATTGGAGAAGTACGGGGCATAACGAAGGACGTGTCAATGGCCCCGCCAAACGTGGCAATGTTCAATAAAGCACCAGAGAATGATAGAGATGTTGTAAATGTAAGAATGGAAGAAACTGAAACAATTATGAGCCCGAGGAACATTTGAGTTCAGAGAAAACTAAATTGAAAATGGAGTCGGCAACACATACTGACAAATGCGGAGGGAGATCAGAGACACAAGGGAGGAATGCCAAGAAAGTGGAATAGAAAATAATTAAGGGGAAAAGAAGAATATAGCTGGGGAATGAGAATGGTTGGAAAGATGAATTGCCAGAAAAAAACGACTCACTCAATTGATAAGCCATTTAAATTCCCGTTGTTTTCATAAGGTTTCCAAAGAGGTTACTTGTTGGTTTTTACAAAGCTATCGTGCCTCAGAAGACATTTTCAAATTAGATTTATCGACCAGTACTGGTCACTTAAGCAAGGGTAGTTGCATTTTTTTTTTATTGCGAAAATTGAACATTTTAATTTTTAATCATTGATGCTTCTTTCTTATATCGATCCAAAAAAAAATACATATAATTGCATTTCAGAAGTAAAATATTAAGTTAGAGTTTCCTGAGTAAAGTGTAAAGATAATTGTCGGTATTGTAAAGATAATTAGGTTTTATCAACTGAATTGATAGTGTAAAATAGACACCGCAAAGAGTTTCTAAAGCTGACATGTCTAACGTTGGCCCTTCGCCATTCGCTCAGTGACGAAGGGCTTACACTCGAAACGTCATCTTTAGAAGTTCTTTTCATAGGTGGCCAATTTTCGAAATCCGGCGAATCATTTGATAAAACCTTAGTGATACAATATAAAAGACTGGTTAGGAAGCCTGACTTTTTACAGAGATTATGGTTCCTAATCACGGCCGAGATAAATGAGCAAATCGACAACAAGCTCTACCCTAATTTAATTAAAGTCAATGTCAGTGTTATTCTGTCACCTTTCTTTAATTAGTAGGGGTGGATGACTTTTCTCTTTCATGCCGTGTGTCAATCACAGCGTTTTGGCGATGAAGAGAGACTTTCGAAACTTCTTGCTTCTCTTTGTGTTGGCAATCACATGTGGTCGATAGTTTTCGTGAATTATGATCATCACCTTTGGAGCAACTTGGACGATTGTCCACGGTATCGATCCCACACGATAAAAATTGTGGCGGTTTTTCTACAACCTCAGGCGTTTTAAAAGCCGGACTTTCTGGAATAATAAAGAACAATCCGTACCTGTAATGCACATCATGAGATACTTCTTTTATACGCTCATCAAAATCTTTGCTCTCAACCTTCTCGAACAACTTATCTACGCTTCGTTCAGCGCTTTGTTTGGCGATCTCTTTTGCCTTAACATGGAACCGTACGAGCGCTTCTCTAGCCTCAATCTGGCGGTAGTAGTCCAAGCTTGGTATTTCAAGCTGCTTTGCCTTTTTAAGACACCGACGAATACAAATTGAGGTAAAGAAAACAGACACAACTGTTAGCAGCAAAGACCAACCTACTATCTGACTTTCGGCCTTATATCTTTCTTCAAGTTGCTCCGTGCGGGTATCGGATTTAAAGTAACGAAGACATCGGTCTGTCGTATTAGACTTCGTGGCATCTTTATTAACGAGAGGCGGGCCGAAATACGCGCAAGTGTAGTACTGTTGCTGCAAAAACGACAGCACCAACCAGGCAGCTGGAGCGATGCAAGCTCTTATGAAGACATATGGTGTGAGGAACAATGCGTTTAGGTAGCCGTAGGTCGGATATTTCGTTTGACGTCTCTTAAAGATTGTGGCGTACTTCCACAGATCTCTGTCAACCAAGATTCCGGCAAAAAACAAGAGCAGAGCAGGAATCCAAAGGAAAGCCAATCCATAAGCAAAGTTTCCCTCACACGGACAGTCAAAGACTATACTTCCCACTAACTCCTCTAAGCCAACCGTCACTCCAGCTATAGAACCGTACAACAAAGAGCGCTTGGAGTTCCTGAATAGAATTGCCGCACTGCTCAGTAGAGTATTCATTTTGAGCCTTGCGGACAACAGCTAGAGTACTATGACTCTTTCCCGACTGCAGTTACAATTTAACATTTAAAGGATAACTTTAGAGACGGAAGTTGTTTTACCAATTAAATTTCCCCTCCTTTCGCATTCAAGAACCGAAGTTATTTTTAACCAATAATATTTCCTCTTTCAGTAATAAACAGGAAATTTTTTGGTTTCGAGCCGGTTGCTGAAAGGATGGAAGATGGGTTCGATGCCGGTCAAGGTTTAGTTGATGCTAAATATCTTTTTTTCATACATCAGATACAGTTGGCTTCTGCAAAAGGGAACTGATTTAATTCCACGAATTGCGCTCGTTTCGGTTACGAGCCGTTTCGCTAACCTCTCATCAGTCGATGTTTCGCTAGCGTTTCAGTTTACTTCAGTAACGTCGATGTAACGTTTTTCGATGTAACGCCAAATCAAAAGTTGTTCTGCATTTCTGGATCATGGGCCACATTATCAGAAATCCAAGTCAAAGTCAATTTACATCTTGATCCAGAAAAAAATTAAAATGCGCTTAGACTGTTTGCGTACAATTACTGTTAAGTCTGACTGTTCACACTTTGGCCCAAACAAAATTGACAATATGCTAGTGTAAATCTCAAATTTAAAATCTTGTGACACCCTCCAAATTGGTGAAACAGTTTCCTATTTTCTACGCTCTCTTTCTTTTTTGTCTCACCATTTGGTTATCCACTTATAAATTTCTCGTTCGAAACTGTACGACACGTGCACGTTGAATTAGTCCTAACTGATTGACATTCAATTTCGTAATCAAACGACATGTAAGTGGCTCGTGTTTTGCCTACAGATAGCTTTGTTTCACGTGCCTGTACTGCAACGTCCTTAGTGTGGTTTTATTCGAACGAGCGAGGAGCTGTGAGTGGGAGGGATCGTAAAATCAAGTGGATAAACCGTTATAAGGAAGCGTGGTACAGCGTTTTCACGATTTCGACATGCTTTCGTCGAGGGCAAAAAATAAACATCCAAAGAAGAAAAGACACTTTCAGCTCATACAGTTTTGATCTTTCTATTTAATCACACAATGCTACTTCACAAAAAAAACAAAACAAAAAAAACAAAAAAAAAAAAACTTCCGTTCATGAATATAAAACATTAAAACTTTGATTATCGATACTGAAGATATCATAGCCATTTATCCTTGTCCAATAATGGCGATACTTCTATATCATTTCCCCGACGAAGTGAAATTACTTCGTTAATATTAACGAAATTGCTTATGGGTCAGCTCACGCCAGACTAGATGCCCATCATGACGAAGTTGTCTCTGGTTTAAAAGGCAAAAGGCAACTATGAGTATGTAGGGGAGGGGGAGGGTATGTAGGGGGAGGGTATGTAGGGGGGTATGTAGGGGAGAGGGAGGGTATGTAGGGGAGGGAAAGGGTATGTAGTGGTGGGGGAGGGAATATTACAAGATAATTTGGTTATATCAACTAATTTGATAATGCAAATTGGTCACCTTAGAGAGTTTCTAAGAGTTTTAAGCGTTATAGCCCTTCCTCAGAGCGAATGACACCGGGAGGCGGGCTAACGTTCGTAGCTCCATTTTCTGCCTTTAAAAGCACACACAACCCACAATTCCTCTATTCGCTCCGTCGAAGGGCTAACGCTCGAAACGTCAGCTTTTGTAATCGTTACGGTGGCCAATTTACCATTTCAACTTTGTTGATATATCCAAATTATAACGTTCGAAACTTCAGCTTTCCTTTAGAAACTCATAATTTAACTGACAAGAACCACTTTGATCCTTATTAGCTCGCCCTCCTCAAAACAAGTCTACTTTAATAAATATACCAATGAGCCTTTTTCAGAAATTACTACTTTGCTCAGATCGCGTTGAACCGGTTTGGTACTAACGCACCTCCTGGAGCTGTCTTGCTGTTTTCTGATCTGCTCGTTCGTGGACCGTGTGACGCTTTGTTTTAGCGTCTGTGCTGTGGCGGAAGGGAAACGGCATGTAACAAACTGCAAGGCTGAACTGATTAAAGTTGGGGAAAACTAACTTTAAGCCTTCGCTTGGCTAACGGAAGGACAAAAATTCGTCACTATTGAATTTCTTGGAGTTGGGGATCTGTGGCAATCACTTCCACTTGCTTCTATCAGTATTGCGTCCTCAATGCAGTTAGCACTTAAATCGTAAATTTAATGTAAATCCGAAATATATTGAAATTACAATTTCAAGGCACTAACTTTTTTATTACAACAGCTAAACATATAATAAACGTTACCCAAGAGTTAGGGTGGCTAAAAAAATAACTGATAACACGTGTTACAGGTGTAACACGATACCCTACCAGAAATTCAGGTAGATCCCTAACCAATTTAAAACAAGAACCTACTGCTGCTAGAACTGGTAATCACATAAAAAGCACAGAAACAAAACTCGAGCTATAGCTTTTGCACCCACCACACTCCTCCGGAATAAGTTCATAGGACGCCAAATGTAGTGTCTGCTGTCAGCTGCCTTGACGGGGGTCCCCTCTCCGTTTTGGTTCCTCACCTGGCCTTAGGAGAAGAGAGTTCGACTTCTCTCTCGGTGGCAGGATAAGTGTGGATACCCAGCGGATACATCCAGTGTAGTTACACAAACGGACGAACTTATACAAAGCATCATTTGCAAAGAGACAAATCACTGTACTGTTTTGACAATTACATTCGTCTGAGTATGTTTCCGATTATGACCGAATAATGGAGGTTAGCGAAGGGAAAAATTATCGAAACGGAATTCTCTTAGGTTTTACTTAGCGATGAGCTCAGTCGTTTTTACCAGCTATATTGCAAAGTAAACTCCGAAAGTTTTTCTAAAAGCCATCTTTAAGATATGATTATTGCAGGTAGATTGGCCTTGGCGTATACTTCGTGAAGAATGCTTATTGTTCTCACATGTACTTATAATAGCGAAAAGATTAGAGATCATGCATTCTGTAATATTACCGGCGAAGTGTACACTCATTGGTTTTCATAGGTCGAGATTTTACGCTTTTTCCTCCACAGTGAATATTAATTGTTTCGTTTTATAAGACATCTAACCGCCGTTTTGTGAAACTTGCCATTCAAAATGCTATAGGGCAACACTGGTCGTTTGAATTTCTGCCAAAGGCAATTGTAAGCCAAAATCTTGTTGAAAATTGAACCACGGCTGATCTCCGTGTAAATGTACTGTTACGGTGCTATTACTGAAACTGAATAGGGCCATTTACTGTTGTAGGGGCGCTTATTGGTGTAGGAGTTCTTGTTTGTTTAGGGGTGCTTATTGAAATGAGAGTACCTACATGTACCTGATTGGGTTGCTTATTTGAAAAGGAGCGCTTATGAGCGATTATCAACAAAAGCAAATTCGAGGGGGGTCCATATTAGGGAGGGGACGCTTATTGGAAGGAGAGCGATGGTAAAGGGGTTGGTGTCCTACAGAGAGCCACTTTTGTTACGATCACCTGTTCTTTTCAACTCGACTGGTTGACGGTGCAGTCTGTCTGAAGTTACGTTTTTGCCTTTATGTTTGTCTCAGCTCCCAATGGCTCAAGAGCGAACGTGGTGTCCCAGCTTGTACGCTTGTACCTTCACCATTAACTAAGGGTGTCTTAAAGAGCTAATCACTTGCTTTGACAACGTATCTTTCAAAGATACACTGAAAATTATAGACTGGGAGCGCTCTCAAATAGTCTAAACTAATTAGCCAAACCGGCATATTTATTTAGATAATACTGATACTGATAATACTGATACTGATAATACTGATAGAGATCGACGATGCTGGTCAGAGGAATAATTTACAAAACTACTTCAGCCATGATAAACTTGTAGAAGACTAGCGAATATTTACAGGACAATAAAAACAAAAACTCACAAACAGTAATGGCTTATATTTCTGAATTTTGTGATTCAACTGGTCTAGCCGATCAATTCAGTTCCAAGGCAAGCTCCTTTTAAAATGATAAGTGAGCTGCATTTTACGATGTTTTCTCAGGAGAGGTGCGACTTACACACTGTAGCACTCTTGGAATGAATTGGTTGCATTCATGACAAGTCCTGCGAGTCAGTGAGTTCGAGACACCTGCGCTGTTTTCAAATCGATAGAACTGTTTGGTTCACTGTCTACGCTGTTCTCATTTTCCACAGTAACAGAGAATGACATGATTTTTCAGAGGTACTTGAAAGTTTACACATTACTGAAGTTTGATTTACGAGCTATATACAGAACTAGTCTAAATAGTCAAAAATCGAAATGGCCAGGGCAGATCCTTACAAAAATCAATATATCAAATTTCCTTTTTCATTTTACTATCTTTCTTATTCTGAAAAAAAGAAAAACTAATGTTACTCCAGTTGTACGTGTACCAAGCTATTTCTTCCAAATAAGCTGTGGGTATACTTACGTCGGTAGACATAGCATGTCAAACGTAAGAGCCAACGAAGATTTGCTCTGTCAAAACGACTTCGCCTTTCTCAATAACTCTTTTTTCCCAATCATAAAGTGTCGGCCATAAGTAACACTTGATCCGTTTCTCTTCTTGGGCGTTGACCCACCCTTGAGACGCATCATGTTTAGCTGACGACAGAAAAGCTTGGCTTTCCCTGTGATATACTGGGTTAAAGGTTCGAGTCTTGTAATCGATTTCGAGAGGAGGGACTTGGGTAACAGCCATCCACGAAAATCGTATGCAGTACTCAATGTAACCTTTTAGTTCCTTTTTGAGGCTTTTATCAAAGATTGGAAGGATTCCCCCTGTCTTTTTCTGTTCCTTCCATTTTGCCTTCAATTCTTTCTTCGCAGCCTGTATGGATTGAAATCCGGCATACGTATTACACGCATCATTGTTGAGTTGCATTACTCAAATACCACAGAGAAAAGCTGTTTGATAACCTCGATCAAATAAGGACTCGGTGATGTGATCCTAACATGAACGGAAGGTGTGTGTACGACCGAATTGTCCAAGATAAGACATTCATACAATAAGCTAAGATATTTGTAAGCAATGTAGTTCAACACTTTGAACCCAACTTGAAATCTTAACCGAAAAAAACAATGATCAAAAACACAAACAGACAATAAAAACAAAGACAACAACAACTCAAATGAAGATTGTCATCTTGCCTTAACAAGCTTTTCCAAATTAAGGTCCTCCCTTCCAGCTGCCTCTTTAACGAGGACCATGACTTCACTTATGCAATCTTGTGGAACACCTTTCGATCTCTTCGCAGGTGTGACTTCGGGAAACTTAGGAATAGAAACGGATAGTTTTTGAATTTTCAAACTGTATTTACAATTGGGCATCCTTAAGTTTTCTTTCTTTCGTGTTCTGTCACCAGACTAGTGACATTACCTCGTAGCTAAAATAGATTACTACTGAATCTTTGGAATTTGACTTTAACGAGTAAGCGGATCTGAGAAGAATAACTTTCCTTGGGTTGTAAATAAAGTTATCTTTGTAAGTAATGTGAACTCAGAGAGAAGGAGAGAGAGAGAGAGAGAAAGAGAAGGACATTATTTTAGAAGGATGAAACGTAACAGCAACTTATATTACTGATGAACTTGTGACAAAATACAAATAATTAAAAGTACATTAGCAATAGATACTATTTACAATGGAAATAAAAACAAAAAGATTTCGGAATTTGCTAACTGGACAAATCGATTTATAACGAAAAACATGCAAACATCTATCTATTGTCATTAACCTAGATCAAACGATCCCTTTGTCTTCTGGAAATTTAGAACTATTTTGGATAATTCAGCCTAAAAGGATTTCAAAGACTTCTTTGTCTTTAGTGATCGATGAAAATTGTTCCAATCTTTTACAGTTCTTGCAGCAAAGGTGCGTCCTCCCCCGAGATGTCTGTGTGAAGAGGGCACAATAAATTTAAAGTACAATTTCTCGTGATTCTTGAGTGAGATTTTTCTACGAGATGCGTTTAAATACTTGGTTTAAATACTCAGGAGAGTACCGTTTATCCGTTTATAGGCCTGTTCACATCGTTCTTATACGCTTCATCATAAAAGGGGATCCAGCTTTGGTTGCACTTTTGTTAAACGATGTTACTGCTCTAATAGCGCGTTGCGTTTCATGAATATTAATATGTGCGGCCCGTTTCTGCATAAGGGGAACTCTCTCAGGTGCCTCTTTGTTGTACGATATCCATACTGGGCTTGCCTACATAATAAGTGGTTTTATTACTGCGTCAGAATATGATAACCGTGACGTAAAAACAGACGACGAAAACTTAACTCATCTTTTCTTAAAATTATTCAACTCTTGAAAGTTTTAGAGGATCTGACTTATAGTTATGGATTAACTCCTTTCTAAATGTCTTAAGACGTTCCTCTGAAAGATCGCGAGGTTCTTTAAAACCTTACGTTCCGCTTGGTCATCATAATAACCTGCAAGCCACGGCCGTCTTCCGCCCCGTCCTTCCGTTTTTATTTTGAAATAAAGAAAAACTAATCGAACAAACAAACAAACAAAATCATGTAAACCAAAGAAATCCAAAACAGAAGTAAACAGAATCGCACGCCTTCTCGATACGGTAGTATGAAATTGATCATTATGGACTGGAACCGTCCATGCTCTTACAAACGTAAAGTTATGTATTCAACATTTATCTGCCTTTCACAAAAAAAACAACTTAAGAAAAGAAGAGCAAATTAAAATGATAAAAAAATATTACAGCACCAAAGATAACAAACCTTATATTTGCCGGCATCCGATGAACCAATACAAGGTGCATCAGTGACTAAAGTGTCCAAAACTGACGAGTAAACCGAAAAAAAACTATTTTTGGCCTTTACCGCACATTCGTAAGATAACTGAAAAAAAAGTAAAGAAACAAATACATGAATTTAATTTTGGCAGCGTACGACAGAGAAGAAGATTACGCAGATCTGGAACATTTCAGATTGCAGACGCGTTGCAAAATTAAAAAAAAACTGAGAAGAAGAAGTAGAAAAACAAGAAGAGCAAGAAAAAGAAATGAAGAAGTATAGCGGAATGCATGGAAATAAAAGATCTGTTGACTGTTTATCCCTAAGACCTGTGTAGAGCCTCACTTTAACAGGCTATTTGCCATACATACATTCTTTAATGGGATCTGATCTCGTATGGTGTTAATAAAATATATTGTATTTAAACTCCACAACATTTACGGAACAAAGTAGAGTACCTCAAATATATAGCATGCAAGCCTGGACGCCTTTAAGCGATCATCATCGGACAGCTGCTGAGATGGAGTTTTCCTTAACTTTTTCTCAATCAATTCTATTGCGTCAACCCGAGTTCCATCCATGAAACCATTCTTGAATTCTTTCTCAAGCTCAGACTGCCTGTTTGCACTCATCGTGTTTTCAGTCCTTCTTTGATCCATGTTGACTCTTTTCTCTGCCAAAGCAGCATGCCTTGTCGAAAATAAAAGCTGCGGGTTAAATTGAATCAATCGATTGTTGCACCATCGATTCTCTATCAGCTAGTAACAATTCTATGGCAAAGAAATTTCAAAAGAAGTATCCGAATAAAATTCACTGATAGAATGATCAAACCTCGCAAGAGGGAGATGTGTGACAAATACACTGCGATGTACAACAAAAGAAGTAAGGACACTCTAACAATTATACTCTGGGAAACCTACTTACATTGAGGTGACAGGGAAATGTTCACTCTTTGATTGAAAGAAAATTGGTCTTTAATTCAGTTTGAACTGGCTTTTGTTCAAGAACTGAAGTGGATAATTATGCCATTTTGGGGAATGTCCAGGTGCTGTAAGTATTCATGCTCTGGTCAGTGAAACAAGTTTGACTGTGTGGGTGTGGGCAGGAATGAAAGCAGTATGTTACTCTCCACATTTGTGTTACCTTTGTCTAAGTGTTTGAACTTCCGCTACTAATTTCCTGTTGTCATTACTATCACTTTGCTGACTTTGGCGGAGGCTATCGAAAATGAAGAGAAGTCAAAATCATTCGTAAATGATAATTTACCTAAAATAGGCGTTGTTTGATGTACTAATAGCTTTCAGAATTTCCGTAAGTGTTAACGATGAAGACATGTTCAGTTTGTCACGCCAGAGGATCCGAAGAGTCCTGACGAGGCGATCGTGACGGATTGGTTGTTATCCTTCCAACTTTCCTAACAGCCAAATTATCACAACAGTTAAGAAATGTTAGACAGATTTTTTATTATTTATTTGTATATATACTTTTTATTTGCGAAGGAGGCATTAGACAGGGCAGATTTTGCTCTGACAATCATAATGACTGAAGCATTTCAATGTACGTACTCGATTGAGTTTACATTTTGAGAAATGAGACCATTACATGAGCTGAAAATTTCCGCAGGTTTAATTTTACGAATTTTATTCGATCTTGCGATCTTTTTTGCATCAAATGAACAGAATTTCTTAAATTATTGTTTACCTCTGCAGTTGTTGCCTGAGATTGTAGTTTTCTTGCCTGAGATTATTGTTTTCTTGCTCCAGTTCCTCAAGTCGCGACTGGATTTGTTGTGATGCTTCAATTAGTTGTGCTGTGGGCCATTCTTCCCTATTTAAAGGTGATGCCGATCGGTGTGTGGTGGATTCATTTCCACCTGGTCGAATAGAGGTAGGAAGCGTTTTTCTACGCTTACGACTCTCCATTACTGAATCAAGTAATGATCGCCAAAGCGTGTATCGACTGCATCTCCCGGATGTCTGTTTTCCTAGAAAGAAGCCGGAAGTGGCTATTTTATTAGAACGCAACCCAAATGTTCCAGTGCGCTGGCAGTAGGAATAATTTTACCGCGCTGAGATATTGGTTTTAATTCATTCCTCTCCGCCATGTGCAGCAAACGCGTAGATAAGGTAAATAAAAACAGATCTGGAATTGAATCATTTTCAAATCGTGTGACACGTATTACATTACATGTAACTCTCCGTAATGATAACTTCGCTTTAGTGTAAATAAGCATAATCGGGGACGAGGAAAAACACCCAGAGAAAATCAAGCAGATCGCTATTTTCGGCATTAATTTCAGTCTTTGTATCATTAAAAAAGACATGAAATGTCCGAGTAGGTCTCAATTGTCGAGAAGAACTGATGTGTTATTCACAGAGTCACTGTGGGGTCATGCAATTGCAATGCCGGAAGTGCATTGCAGTGCCGGAAGTGCATTGCTAAAGCTTGAAGGACAATCACTGTATCTGTTCTGGCTCTGATCTGGTCTAAAAAGTAAAAGAGAATGAAGTCTATCAGAACTAAATTTATCGCGACTTGTCAAATAACATGGTGCCTTCGGCCTTCCTAGAATGGGAGAGTAACAGTTCACTGGGTGATAACTTCCTATTTTTAATCTTGGAACTCACGTAACCTACATTATTTATAACTGACACGACACATGAACAATAAACGATTCCGGGAAATTTCCCCTCGTCTTGAATACTGAAGTCATTTGCATAAAAAAGTCTCTGCACGTTTTTAATTTTCTGGTTGCTCAGCTTATTCTGTTTGGAGGAGACGTCTTGCAGAAATGGCATCTTCGTCAGGTAACGGTGAGAGCAGACTTGTTTCTTACTCGATCGTTAACTCGAACAAAGAGCAGCAGCCGTTGAGAAACGGCGAAGCGTGTCGAGATAAGAAACCTGTTGGGAATCATACACAAAGAATCGGGTTCATTTTGAACCACAGTTACGTACTGAAATGAAAGTAGAGGCGCTATTGTTTCATATTTCGTTTTGAAAGTGATTCTTCTGAGAACAGGTAACAGGGGAAACGGTAGTTACTGGCTTTTCGGGTTTTTTTGCATCGAAATTTTAGCATTCTCGTAACAGATACATTGACTGTGACAAATCAAATATTCATGATTTGATCTGCATGCTTACCCAACACTTAAATGATATGCATTCTCACCCTCATCAAAAAAGAAAAGAAGGTGCAGTATTCTAATCAATTAAATTCATTTACGGGCGATTTGAGCTCCTGAAACACAACAAGTAAACTTTGACGTGATCTTGGAGGGTGTAAGATTCCGTTAGTTTCACATGTTCTAGCCCTTAGTACAGCCTTTCGAGTCAAGAAGCTCTTACACTAACTTTAAGATCAATTTGCTATCTACTCTTTACTTTAACTCAGCTTTGAATTTGTCAAATAAAAGTTCTAAGAACAGCGGATGTCTGCTGACCTAAGGAAATCAGTGGGACTGAAGTCTGTCGCGTCACGGTAATTCCCCCAAATGTACCAGTTCAGTTAAACATCCGGTTTCTTTTCCAAATCTAGGTACTCATCATGAGGAGTCTTACCTTGCAACCATAGGGATAGACTTTGGCACAACCTTCAGTGGGTTTGCTTTCTCATTCAACAAAGACGAAGGGAAAGATGCGATTTTTTTGAACCGGGATTGGGTCAATGATCAGGGCCATCGAACCAGCAAGACCCCAACATGTCTGCTTCTTAAACCAGACTTGTCATTTGACTCGTTTGGGTACACAGCGATGGAGAGATACTCCGGTTTAAAAAGCATGTATGAAGAAAAAGAATTCTTCTTTTTCCAGCATTTTAAGATGGAGTTGCACAACGAAGAGGTAGGTAAAAGTCAGCTTGTTGACATTTTTTAATATTATAGGGTCTCAAGTAACAGATGCCTTCAAGTGTCACAAATCTTGCATTTATCTATCTGTTTACTCAGGCCCCATTTATATGGACTGGGGTAGCCGATACAACCCTCCCCACGAGACAAATCTACGATGCGTTTATATAAAATTTGACTTGTGCTATCCCTTGTTCGGCCAAGCCAGATTATATTTTGGAAAGGGTGGCGTACGACAGGAAAATAATAGCCGTAATACGCACGGGCTCTGGATATAGCGTGCGCGCACATTTTCTGTTCGAGTTATCTCGTCTTTGGTGGGCGCAACAAGGTGTTTGCATGAGAAAAAGTTGTACTGCCTGCCAGGATTACCCTACCTGTCGAGGTGAGACAACTCACCCTCGCCCCCCGCCCCCTCGAGTTATCTCGCCTGCCCGAGACTAATTCACAACCTCATGTAAACGGGCGCCTGAATTTGGTAAAGAAATAAGCGAAAAGTTAGCTCGCCCAGGGTAACTCGGGGGTAGGGTTGTCTCGGGTACCCGTTACCTCATAAATGGGGTCTTTCAGTGTGTGGTTTGAGTAAGTATCAGTGGATTGCGTAGTATCACATATCATGTATGGTTCGAATTGAAACATTTTAAAGAAAACTGTAAATTAACACAAACAAGTTCGAGTAACTTAACCATGTCTTTTCTATAAAAGAGAAAATTGGATGTTCATATGCAGAGCTGATTGAGACGATTTAAATGAAAACGCTGCTTTTTAAATTACTAAGATGCAGCAAATTTAATATAGATGATATGAAATACCTCCTCATTTGGAGTGTCTACTAAATTATTCTCAATATCTTTCATTACAAAACAGACCATTGACCTGCAAGCTACCATCCCTGACGCCAGATATAAACGCGTACAAGCAAAGAAAGTGTTTGCCCATGCCATACGGTTTCTGGGAGATGAGGCGATTAATTTCATTCGCCAAGAAACTGGAGATCAGAGTTTCAAGGTTGAAGATGTTTTGTGGGTTCTGACTGTACCAGCCATATGGAGTCCAAGAGCAAAACAGTTGATGAGAGAAGCAGCTTATGAGGTACCCCGCTCACTGGAGTGGTTCAGTTTCAGTACATGACTGCCATTCATACCTCTGTGGAAGTTTGCTAACATGAATATCTGTTTCCTCATTTCGTTTTGCTTTTGTTCGTTTATTTTTCTTTTCTGAATTAAACTGTTAATTAAATTGATTGTTGGAGCGAATATATATATAAAAAGAAAAAACCAACCAAAACATACAGAAACAAAACAAAATGAAACGAAACAAAACAAAACGCATAGCCATTTCCTTCATTTTAAATCGCTCCTTTTCCATTTTTACATATGAATGGTAATTATGTTTTTTCCAGGCTGGTACCGTCTGTCGTGATCATCCAGAGCAGTTGGTTATCGCTTTAGAACCTGAAGCGGCCGCGATATTCTGCACTGAGAGAAAAATGGACGCGATACTGTCAGAGAAACTTGATGTGTCAGTGGATGGACTTTTGTCCCAACTGAATGCACAGTACATGGTTGTCGACATTGGAGGTAATGTGCATAAGAATCATGAGCTAAATAATACCTTTTAACAGTTGATTAAAGTTTGGATAAATCATTTTGGTTGTTCATTTTGGTTTCAATATCTTCAGGATCTTAATTAAACTAAACATTTCCTTAGCTCCTGTTTTCCCAGTTTCTTAACAGAAACTTAATTTAATCTAAGAACGATTGTAGAATAAAGAAAGAGAAAACGATAAATAAACAACAACATGAGCTACAACAACAACAAGAACTATAACAGCAACAATAGCTGACCCAATAGCCACAGAAACTGCAACAAGAATAAAACGGTAATTTGATTTTTAAAATAATGGAGATGAACATACTCGTTCATTTCGTAGCACTGTCAGTTACCCTGCACTTTTTCGTCATCCGTAATATGATTCCAATTGATATATTTTTATTTCCCCTTTTTTTGTAACAACTGTGCTCCCAGGAGGTACTCTTGACGTCACCGTCCACGAAAAGCAAGATGACGGTAGAATTAGGGAAATCCACAAGGTTACAGGTGGGCCCTATGGCGGAAACAAGGTGAATCATCAGTTCGAAGGTCTTCTAGATGAGCTATTTGGTGCCGAAAAACTTTATGAGTACCGCAAGCTATTTCCCATTGACTGGCTTCACTTAAAAAATGATTTCGAGGAGAAGAAACGCGGCGTTCGTTCTCAACAAAAAAAGGAAACCCGAATTCGTCTGCCGTATAGCTTTGTTTCGACCATTAATAAATTTTTGCCTCATTCTCTGGCCCGTTACGGCGAAGGTGAAATTAAACTGCAAAGGAACGAATATCTCTGCCTCAGCCCAAGCGTGATGATAAAACAGTTTGAACCTGTTTTGGAAGCAATGAAAGATCATTTGGATGTCTTACTGAGCAAACCAGAGCTTTCAAAAGTAAAAGTAATGCTACTTGTTGGAGGATTTGCAGAATCTCCTATTCTTCAGCAGAAAATAATGGAAAAGTTCAACTGTAGATGCCGTGTGATTGTACCACGTGACGCAGCTAAAGCAGTGGTTCAGGGAGCCGTGATGTTTGGTCAGCTTCCCGATAGAATTTCCCAAAGGGTTATGTCCACAACATATGGCTGTGCCTGCTGCCGAGATTTTATACAAGGTATCCATCCAAATGAAAAGAAATTCATAGCTGATGGCGTAGAAAAGTGCCGTGACTTATTCGCTTGTTTCGTTAAGGAAGATGAAGAGGTGAAACTTGGTCAAAGAATCCGGCAAGTCTTTCACCCAGTGTACGCTAACCAGACAGAGGTACCCTTTGGATTTTACACCTCAAGCAACGCCGACGCACAATTCGTTACCGAACCAGGCTTGACTAAGATTGGAAACCTGGTTGTTCATTCTCCCGTTACCCGTGGTGGTCGTGACAGAGATATCGAGGTCAGCTTATACTTCGGTGGTACCGAAATTACAGCCACAGCTTTAGATGTTTCAAGTGGGAATGTAAAACAAACAACTCTTGACTTTTTCCCTAAGTCTTAAAGGTGCGAAAATTAACATGTCCTGTCATGGACTATATAATTTTTATGGACTTACTCGGCAAAAAGTTATCAGCTTGTGACACATTCTGTCTTTTAGTGTGTAACATCGCTTTCAAATTGAAGTAGCCACTGTTTATCAAACCAAACAAAGATGTGAAAAAAAACAAAAAAACAAAAAAACCAACAAACAAATAGTACTTTAAAGCAAGAGATTACGAACTGTTAATAAGCCTTGGTTGAAAAGAGTTGAAAAAGCCTTAAAAAGTCAAATCACAAAGAAAGGAATCAAAACAAAACAAAAACTGAGAAATTGTAAATGGAACAATCGAAACACACAAACAAAAAACAAAGAGTTAAAAGGTCTCTAGCTGGCTGCAAAGCCATAGTATATGGAGGCGTAAAAATACTTTTTGTCTTAGAATTTAAATTACAACGTTGTATGTGCTACTTTTATAAAGTTCCATTTAGACACAATTAAATTGGTTAAAAAATAAAATAACAGTTTAATAAACTGAGGGTTGTCATCATAGTTTCGATGAGCCCTCTACATGTACGTAGCATCCCCACCATTCTATTTTTAGTGCTTCATCTGATTTGATTATTATAATTGTTCATACATGAAGTTTGTTTCTGTTAAGGATCATTGTTTTCTCGTTGCCGTCTCTTGCATTTCTCTCTAATATTCTCGTGTCGATCTTTTGCTGTTGTTTGGTTCCTTTTCATTTGATAACTTTCTTTAAAACAATATCTTATGGGATTGAAATCAGTTAACGCAGAATAGATCTTAAAAACATTAGTTAATTTTTTTGAAAAAAATTGAACAAGGATCAAAAGCAGCTAATCAACTACGACAAGTTTGGGTCAAGAAAGTCTTTTTCTTTCATGATATTTGGGTTTTCCGCGCTTTTGATTTCCCGCAAATGACGGCTAAAACAGCAGCAGCGTCCATGGATAGTCTGAGACCAAATCTGAACGAGCTGTTCTCCATTCTGATGAAATGAGATAAAACTAGGGCTGTTAGGGGTTCCATCGCAGGGCAAGAGGCCATCTCGGTTTCAGGTCTGGACCAACAATAAACCACGAATTGTGCCTAATATTTTGATGTGAATAGGTTACTTCATTGGCCCCAGTCGAGATCAACTGAGTAGGAAAAAGGGGGAATTGCATCAAGATAAGCCAAAAATGAACTACAGATTTCTGAACATAAACTCTTTCCTGCCTCGTAGCTACCTAAATACATTACTAAGAAGGTCTAAGGAGAAATATTAAGTAAGAAGCACATCTCACTTATTATGAAACATTAGTTGTTGAAGACCCTCGTATGCATTTAGAAAACGTCCCTTAAGTTCGTGTGAATGATGATGGTACAAACTCCGGATGGTCCGTTTTCATGTTATCAAAATAAAAATTTGGAATAAATGTTTTATATTTCATTTTCGTTACACGTTGACAATAAGTTACTTCGAGATATAAAACATGTTTTCCAAATGAGCCTTATTACTATCTTTGATCCAAAAACTAACTTCACGACGGTTTTTATAATTTTTCAGAGCATTGACCTTTCCCTTATTATGGAAATATCTTTGAAACCATATGCTGGAGGTGCTGCGAAAGATAGCCTTTTTCTTTCACATCGATTGATAGTGGTATTGCGCACTTCCTGTCTGCTGCAAAACCTTGACGTATATCACATGACATTCCTCAACACTTCCGGTAATTCTAGGAAGTCAAGGTTTCAGGCAGACAAACAGATCCACGCAGCGAAATTGTATGAAGCGATATTACGAAATGTTGCTGATAATTCTTAAAATACTGTAGTTTCATTCTACAGAAATGGAAGCGTACTTTGGGCTAGCGACCACAACGGAGAGAGTCCAACCTTATGAATTGCAAGATTTAAGGTATCAAGTGAATCTCTGCGGTCTCTATGCGATCTCGAGCTGAAGGCAGCGTTGTTGACGTGATCGAGAGGACTATTTTGCTTTTTAGTTTGTATTCAGAATCTCTGGAGCGTGTAAACTAATCAGTCTACCAAATTAGGGACGTCGATGTTAGCTAGAAAGTCACTGTTTTTCTTCAGGGCAAAGGTAGAGAGTTCTCAATAGGTTTTTCGGGATCCGAGATTGAGATTACTTTAAAGGCCGGGATCCGGGAATTAGAGTAAGAAGGCAGCGAGATGCGAGATTGTTGTTATGAACGTGACACAGGAATTGGCGATTTTGAGGGGTGGGAATTGGGAAAGAATCAATCGAATGAACCGAGATCTAGGAAATTCATTGACGAGAATTAATATGAAAACTGATCTATGCTTTTCACTTCAATGCCACATAAATATTGCACAGCTTCTTACGGTGGCCCATAAGTACGGTGGCCCATAGGGGACATGACTCATTTTTTTTATCGCGCGATAAATGATAGATTATCGCGCGATAAATGGAAATTATCGCGCGATAATTTCCATTTATCGCGTGATAGATTATCATTTATCGCGCGATAATCTATCTTCTCGATCACTACTAGTCCATTTTACAGGTGCGTGCCTGGTTGCCAAGCCTTGGGTGTGAGTGAGGCTATGGGTGACCTACAAATACATGCTAACTAGATACTCCATCACAACAAAGCTACCTTCTGAGCCTTACTCCGGATCAAAGGCTTGGCAAAATGGCCTATTGACATTTCTTAGCATGCAACTGTTTAGGTACTTTTAGTGCTAGTGATAATTTGTTTTCAAAAGTGTACTAGCTGATACAATTAATTCCTTCGGGAACAAACATGTTAAATCCTAGCTACTAGTGCACAAGAGGAATGATGGGACTCCTGCTATGAGCACTTAGGTCTACAAAACCTGTAGACCTTAGCAATTCTTTGTATTTCAATTTGAGCCTGATGAGGTTTTGCCAGCATGGGCATGACTTGGTAACTCTCTTTTTGCAGATTCTCTTGTCATTTTGTCATAATGATAAAAATAGCATAAGTCTGGCCAAATGCTATTTCAAAAAATGGCCAGACTGTGTGAAAACTATGGTAGCATATTTTTTAAATAAGCTAAAGAAACTTGATTGATAGCAAACTCAATCAAAATCTTAGGTAAGTGATGAAAATGTTAGTAGCAACTGGAAAGGATGGCTGCTGCCAGAAAGAATCTTTCTTTAAAAAGTATCCTTATTAAAACTTAATTACTCCTTCCTATGCCCTTTGATTTGTGCATTTTAGAGACTTACACCTCATTCATTAAAATATGTCACAGCTTTTAATGGTTTTCCTTTTCCTAGTAAACCAGATTTAGAGAAAGAGATACAACAGCTACAGCAGAGGTAATTTGTTGGTGTTTCCTATTTACCCTGAAAATGGATAAACTATTGGGCCAGGCCATTTCTTAATTCTACGCTATTAAAATAAAGTAAAATTCATTTGGTTGGTACTTTGCATAATAGCTATAGAAAAGCCAACTCTTGCCTCTCACCCCCCAATTCCTTGTTACTTGGTGTTTACAACAAAAAGTCAGTATAATACTGTTTTGTCGCACATATGTCGAATTTGTCACATATATTTGGCATATATGTATGTTATGCTCTATATGTAAAAGCTATCTATGTCCACATATAAGAAACATGTGTAGAGTAACTGCACATGGGTTCCAAACACCTACATCTGACATATGTGTTACATATATGTTACACACATGTGACATATATGTCACATATATATGTACCAGATACATGTAGAAAATATGTGGTTTTGGTAAGGGTAGTTGCTTGATTTATTTCCATTTCTTTTAATTTTTTTTTGTTAGGGGAGGGGGGAGAGGGGTGGGGACTTTGCAGTCTCTTATTGGAGTTAAATGACAAGATTTCTGCTCATTATGTGTGTGGAGGGCTGTGAACTATAATACTAAGGGGAGGTGTGCCAACTACTTTTACCACCTATTGCACTTGATATTTTATATTTGGGGTGTCCTCAAACTTTTGAGCTGCCGTCAGTGAGAATTGTAAGATATTACTGTTGGTTTTCATATGTACTGTTTACAATTGTAATATCTTGATTGTTATAAACTGCAACATTAGAATATGTAATGGCAGCCTTTAAAAAGTGGAAGAAAAATGGCAAAAATGATTAATTGGCAAAAAAATGAAAGCTTAAGTCTACCTACCCCAGTATATATTTCAAATTAGCATCATACAGTAGCTACATATATAAGTACTAGCCTCCACATGGCACAAACTGTGGTTAAATAGGTGACCTGACTTACCTTATACTTTTGGTAGATCGAAAAGTTAATCGAAGTCAGTCTCACAGAATTGACTTTGTATACTGGCATGGTGACCAGTTTATTATTTGGTACACCAATATGACTACATGAGGTCATATGAGAACGCTCTGGTAAACGAGGAGTTTTAAAACTAGCGATACCCGCATGTTGAAACCGCTAAGAGTCACGGACAAATATGCCCAAATATTTCGTGCCAACTAAAGGCTATTGCTTATGTACTCCTCAGTATCAGCTGGGACATATCGGTAGTTGACCCACTCAGACCAATCGAGTGCCAGTGAAGATATTTTAAGCCTTTATCCAAAGACTGGTTTTACAAGCAGAAATAATGGGGTGATCCCTTTAATTCCTCTTGTTTAGCAGAATTATTAATAACTTCCCCTATATGTATAAAAATTTTAATTTTTCCAATTAAAGGCACGAAAGAGAGTTAGCGAAGAAGAACGAAGAGGTAAAACACTTCGCCGAAAGGTAAGAAATGTTATGAACAAACATACCAGTAATGAGCCAAAAACAAAAAAAACAAAACAAAAGTAAACAGCAGAGAGCAAACAATAAACAACAAACAACAAAAAGGAACAAGAATCGTTTAACCACAAGTAAAAACAACAAATGTCTAACGAGAAACAACAACATAAGAGCAAACTACAAAAGAAATAATTTCGTTAAAACACTGTCCGATCACAAATTAACTGAGCACTCGTGCTGTTGCAACAAATTATATCCAATACGTCATAGCATCATGAAAAGAAAGAAATCCTTATTAAAGAAAAGCAGTCACCATCAGTAACGTGAAGAAACAGACAATTATGTTGTTATTATTATTATGAAATAAAAAATAGCAGAGGTAAATGATATGAATTGTCTAAAACTCGCTGAACAAATAAAAGCATCTATACGTTTTCTTAGTGTTCATATCCCACTAACTGTGTGTTAGTGTATAGGTGTGTGATATGAAAGGAAAACCCAAATAATGAACAAACCTTTGACTTGTATGGCAGCACTTTTTATTGCTGTTTTCTTTTTTAGACTCAACGCGTCGGAAAAAAAAGTAGCTTCGAAAGAAGAGTTCTGCAAAAGGTGCGTGAGACCTTGAAAATAAAGTGGATGCCGATGTTTCTTGGAAATTTCGATGTCTCCTTAATATTTTTCCATCCCTGCTTGTTTGCCAAAAGACTGTTCTTCCTTATCAACGTTTCCTTCATTCATCCCTTTTTTTGTTTGTTTACACATTCTTCTAATTCGGCATTAAACGTCAATGGAAAAAGGGAATTTTAGATCTGAGGCTAAGCTGAAAATGCACTATCGATCTTTCCAAAATCTTATTGAAAGTATTAAGCACACTTGTGGTAAAGTTGTGCTTAGTTTGTGAATTATGAAAATATCGTTCCATCTTATTATTTTCCGTTTTTACGTAAAAAAAGTATCTTTATTTTAAGAGTTTTTAGAGATTTTTAAGAGATTTTAAGAGGATTTTTAACTCCTTTAGATTAAAAGAAGACTAAAAAAACAACAGTTTAATTACACAATGCTGAGGTAATATTTAGAGGGCGCACTCACGGCGACATTTAATCGCAGAAAAGCATATTTCATCGTTGTCCCTGATGCCTAACGTATGTTACATAACAAGCTATTTTTTTCCCTTGAACCTTGTAGAAAGTATTGTTTGTCGTATACTTTAATGTCTATGAGGAGTGATTTATATTTTTATTATTTTGTTTATAGATTGAACTATGAGAAGGAAAAATTGAACAATAAATTCACAAAAGAAATAAAAGCGAAAGAGAATCAGTTAAATGACAGTCGCAAAAGGTAAGGCCTGGATTTATACGAAATACAGTGTGAAAATAAGGAAATTGTGTCACGATGACGATGACGGTGTACTCTGACGAAACTTCCTGAGGTTCAGAAAAACACGAATGAATAAGGCACGATTGGATTACTTTTGATTCTAATTGGCTGAGAGGGCGGAGAGGATTTTCTAAAGCAATAATAGAGCATGGTATAAGGATATCAGTACGATCGCGGATTACCTTCGACACTCAATTAAAAATAACTTCAATGTCTATGATGGGTAATTATTATACAATCTCTTACGTCATACCTAAAGACAATAGATTTTTTTAATGTGGAAGTGACGTCATACTTACAGACGATAGCCTTACGTGCTCAAGAATATGCATAATAAAACAATTGTTGGATCGGTTTTCAAATGATAGCGATAATTATCAAGGCCTCAGTTTGTTATCCGCCTCACCCTTCGGCTTCGGCAGATAACACACAACTTTGGCCTTGGTAATTATCGCCATTACGCTGAACCTCATGCAATAATTGTTAAATGTAAGTGCAATTTATGCTACTTCTTGTTCGATGGTGGAATGTTTCTACAGTAGTTTTAAACCGTTGGCTTGAAGGTTCTGCCCTTTGTCTCGTCTTGATAACG